ATTGGTCATAATTTTGACTGTATTCAGTACTAATTAACGGGTTTCAACTTCACTTGACAAAACGAATAGACTGGTTTTCAATGTAAAATATTACTTTCTGAACAATAACGTCAAACCCAAATGAGGGGATAAATTTTGTTGTGTAATTTATTGGCTTCGAAGGTTAATCACTTGATTTTTTAATTAGAGCATTGATAATGCATTCTAATGAGGAAACTGAGATAGGATGATAAGTCTCTGTGAATCAGTTTTGTGGCATACTTGCTAAACATTAATATGCACTTTGGTATCCATTATTTTAAACACATCCCTACAACTAAACTTGAAGAGTGTTATTAGGTTTTACCAACTTATTTTATTAGGTCGTTAGTCGATGCCTAATTAGCCCATAAGCACACACACGGAGAACATTATGTCCTTTAGGGATGAATTTATACAAAGGAGCATGAAATTCGGGTCCATGACTTTCTTTTGATTGCTTCAAATCACGCAACTTACGTCATATATATATATATATATATATATATATTTATATATGATTAAGCTGGACCACGTTTTATTGTTTGAATTACATCTTGAAATGATAATCACTAATCGCTAGTAATAGTAGCCAATTTCAAATGAAATATTATCATTTATTTTCACGACAGAGTTTTAGAGGTTGTTGAGCTTCATTGATGGGTCGCTGAAGAGCCCTATGCTGGAACAAAACGACCGTCCAGTGCTTTCAGGTTCCTAGTGGTGATCTAACGTTAATCTGTTCATCCAATATTAAACTACCGTAACTTTCGATCAACCGAATTAGCATTGATTATTACTTAATAAGAATCCTAAATAAACATGGTACCACTATAAATTTTCTCAAGATTATTAATTAAAAAACTTATTTTTCTTTATTGATCGATCAAGTGGTGAAGAATTGTTTCAGGTTGTAATCGAGTTTTGTTGAAGAAAATCATTTTTATTTGAATCATATTGAATTGTTAATAATTACTTTTATCTGTAAATTGATATTTAAAAAGTTTTAAACTATGGGTAACAATATATTCACTTAAGAATCGATGTTGATTTTGATCTTGAAATCGCTTTCATAATATTTATGTTGTACATTTTAAATGGTAGTTATTAAATGAAAGCGTTTCAATTTCATATAAGTAAAAATAGGGAAATCCTATTTTTTATGGTGAGTTGATATTGGCGTCGATAACTTTGTCTTTGTAAATGTTCGACATTAACAAAGAAATAAAAATATTAAATGAAGACGAAGTATTTGATGAGTAAAACTTTAATTAGTTAGTTTAATAGAGACTAATTTATGGATTGAACGATCCCTGTGTGCATTTTATCTCTTTATAGGTTATAACAAAATATAAGCGAATGTTAGCTCTTCAGATTGTTTTCGTAAACGTTAAATTTAGACAAATTAAATGGAAACCTATAGACAAACCACGATTATTTGTAAATCAACTAACAATATACGAAGTAAAGATAGCCATAAACTATATGTACATGTCTTATATTTTGTCTACACAAAATTATCGTAAAACAAAACCATAAAGGATTATCTGACTTGAATAAAATTGAAAAAATCTTTTAATCATACTACTAAGTTCACTAAACTACATACAGCTTATAAATGTAGCAGCAACTATGAAAGACAGACATTTATGCTCATCATTTTTAATATAATTCTATGTAAAGTTAATGTTTATTTATTGTTGGGTATTATTTGGATTGTTGAAAGTTCCAACCAAGTAACATAGTGAAAGTCTGCAAACAGGAAAAGTTGATATCTTAAGTTTCTTTAATTTCGATTTTCTGAGATCAATATCTATGGTGAGTATGATACTAATAATCGTAACCAGTGCTCAGAAACAGAATGACATGGCTCTAAATCGTTTGAAATGTTGCGAGAGCATCCTATTTTGTCTTTCCCTAAATTCTAATTATCAGGATTATTCATAATATTTTATTTTTTTCAGTGACTTTTTTTGTCAAAAGTTATCTTCGATCTCTAACCTTTTCCGTCTTTACTAATACAGCTACAAATTATCATACTCCCGAATTTCTCGTGAAGATTTGGTCCTTTTTCGCTAATGAGGTGTGTCAACCTGAATTGATATACATGCGTACCAAGTTCTACGTTATATTTGACTGACTGACATTCAAAAATAGATTATTACCGTTGGACTCAACCTCTAGCTGTATCTATGTACCTATCGTCTCAAGTGCATAGGAAAGATAGAGAGAGGGGTTCCTATTAGGTTTTCTGAACACGATTAAACTAATAATTTGAATTTAAGGTTGTATGCAGGTGATTAGAAACTAAAAATTACATCAGATTATTTTATTCTGAATGAATTGTTATTCTTTCTCTGTTCAAATTTATCATGACACCTAATTGTATGATATTAAACAGAACATGTACCATATTTGAAGCCATAATAACATGAAAAACAGATAACCAAGATATATGCCTTTCATGGGAAAAATGTATTGTACCAGGAATGATCGATCTTTCAAAAATAAAATATATAGATAAAATCTAAGTCAAAAACAAGAAATGAAATTCATACTTACATGACGGCGAATAATCAAATCCTGAAATAAAAAGCAACAAATTTTATAGCTCAACAGAAAGGTTGAAAGATAAACAAACTGAAACAAAATTACTCTTAAAATTAAGGAAAAATTTGTTTTATTTAAGGAGTAATTTTTGATGTAATAACTTTTTTATTTGTATACAAATTTATTACTAATTTTGGAAAGAAACATCGATATGCTGGGAAAGTATAGTAAATAGGCGAGCATCGGAAATATAAAAAGCATAATCCTTGATTCAACGAATAAAAGCCATAATTTCTATCCTACCTCTGTTCATTGTTATGTAATAGTGGCTGTGATTCTTAGTCTTAAATAAGCCATAAAAATAGCTTCTACGCAAGTTTAGAAATTGACTGCTCTTTTCACTAACTGTTAAGAAGCATTTTCAGATTGACGGGAGTTAAAGCAGGTTGGAATAAATAATTTATGTATCAATGATGCTTTCTGTTTTCATGAACGCAGGTATATATACAAAAACAGGTTCAAATTCCGTAAACCAACTAAATTTCAGATCGCTGGATTTGTTCATTTGTTTATTTAGAAAGAATACTAAATACTACAATAATAAAGACTTAGTTTTAGTACATGAAATCAATTTAATAAAAAATGAATAAGCCACATGTCAAGGGTAAATCAGAGAATTTATATCGAAAACTATAAGAGCGATAATTTGGTATCACTCTTAAGAGCTTTCTCTAATCAATGAAGCTGAGTTTAACATATAATACAGAAATAACGTTGATACACGATTATGTCAATATATCAATGAACTGCCTGAAGACAAACATTTATTTCTGTGATTTGAGAGCTAGAAATATATTGATGTGACATTCTTTCTATTTGCGGCGATATATAAGTGCCATTATCAACCTGGATAACGTGGTGACATTTTATTATCTTATCATTCAAAACTTGAGTAAGGTTTGTTGATAACAGTAATGAAGTAACCAGAAAGCGTTAATATGAAACAAATCAAGGCATTTAACTAGTGGTTCTCACTTAGTGTGATCAATGTCATTTATTTTAGCTAGATTAATAGTTTGTTTAATCCAAAGAACTGTATCTAAAAAATCTATAGTCGTTAAATATATTCTGGAAATTATTCTACGAAGTGAATTTAATGAAATTCGTAAAAGGAACTTCAATTTTTAAATATTTCAATTTATTTGAGTTCAAATCATCATAGTTTTTCTTAGTTCTAATAAATTTTTTGAAAAATAGCAGTTTAGTTGTGCTTTTACCTTAGGTTTCACTTGTATCGTATTTTATAATCGCGCAAAATGGTAGCTTAGTAGAAGCAGCAAGTTGGTTGTCAGGCGTTATGTTTTTTATAAAACTTCAAACTTTTTAAAAATTCCATCTCAGTGCTATGTCAAATTTAAGCTCCTCTTCGTTTCACAAATTAGATGAAGCGTTTTCATTGTTTGTGCCTTACTGTTAAGGTTACATTTTTAAATTTCTCAAACATTCGGAGAAATTATGAATAAACTTGTTCGCTCTTAATTTTGAAGTAAAAAATGTTCAATGCTATGACGGGTTGATTATGAGATATTGGTTTATTAACACAGTGCAACAAGGATAAATAAAAGAATAATAGTTGAGTTTCGCAACGGCATATAATGAATACTTAAGTACGAAATACTTTGAAGGTTGTGAAATACATTTCAAATTTTATTAACGTTAACTTACTGTAAAGCAGTCATTTGTTCCTTATTGAAAAAGGTTATTAATTATTTATTTTCTTGCTAGTTCTTCGGTGTCGTAGGGCATCTCGGCGAAACTAGGATATCTATTACGTCTGTAGCGATATCTTGGATGACTGAACATGAAGCTTTCTTCTCCTGGACTTATCATTTCATTCGTCGGGTTATAAAACCGTTTCCAATATACCATTCGTTTGTCAGAACCAGGGATACTGGACTCAGAGTGGCTTTTAAGTCCTTCTGTTTTGGTGAAGTATTGTAAAAATAAAAATAAAATAAAAACATTCGAAATCATTTCTGAAACTCAGATCGTAAATCTAGAATCGACACATAGTAAGCTTTATATATGAGCGAATGTATTGGAAACGAAAATTTGATTGGATGTAAGAGAATGTACCAGAAAGTTTATTCCTGTAAAGACTGTACGTTGAACTAGTTAGGACTAATTTACAATATTCAAATACGATTTAATAAAGAAAAAAACTTGAAACAAATAAATTACTGTCATGAACTCAGGTATTGAACATAGGACCAGTATTTAGGCTAACAACGGCGGGGAATATTTATTAAACGTAACTGCTCTGCTGGTTATTTATTGTGATAATGACTCTACAGGTTTCGTTAATCGCAAGATATGAATCTGAAAAAAATTTATTATAATTTCAACTTTTATTGCTTGTAATACCCACAGAAATGGTCCTTCAGGTATCCACAACTATCCAATTTTGTGTGACTGTAGAGCACAATTAATTGGGACTCCTGGGTGGATTGATCCTAATTTTGCTGGATTGTTTTCTGGAGAGTCTCCTGGATTGTTAAGGATTCCCTTCTAATTGATCTGTTACTTTCCGATGGTCATGATGTATTTATAGGAAGCTATTTGTCAACCAAAATGAAACAGTATTCAGAAATGTTAGATTCTGGTTCTTTATTTTGCTACCGAAAGCTCTAAAGCTTCAAAAGATTTGGCATATCATCGTTCTTGCTTGAATGCTGTGGAATACTCTTGGTGCGAAAATCCTTAGTCTCGTTCATTAGGCGGATACGATTATTGAAAGTAAACAAAATGATGTATTCTGGTTTTTACAGCTCGCTATAGTAAGTCGATTCGTTACCATATGCTCTAAATTAAGTTTGGGTCTGTTGCTATATTTCAGTAAAATTACGATTTTTGCATTAAATTATTGCAATGTGTATTCCTATTTTGACCTAATCGGATGTTTACTGTTGCTCTTTCATATTTGGACCGCGTTGTGTACTCTTTCAGTTTGGTGAAGTAGTTTGGACGACTCTTAGGCGTATTTACGATCGGTATATCTGGAATCTCTGCTGCTGCTCCCCGGGGCCTCGCTCGTGTATATATAGCATCGATTCCTAGGGCACAGCTAGCTCTCTTCCCATTAGGTAGTTGCATGTGCGTTGTCCGAATAAATTACACGGTATGGACTCGTAAGGATAGGGACACGCCGTTACTACTTTTTTGTCTCTGTCTACGCTCCTACTGACAGCAGTTCAGACGAGGTAAAAGATGAGTTTTGCAAAAACCTCTGTAACCTTCAAAAATGTAAGCGCTCTGATATAGTAATAATGGCTGTTGAATTCAGTGCTCAAGTAGGCAGACTTAATGTAAAGGAAATACACCTAGGTGGATCTTATGGTATCGCGCCACAAAGATCAGATAATGGCGACCGTCTGCTGCAGCTGTGCTCAGATAACCGCCTATTTTTAGCGAACACTAACTTTAAGCATGAAGAAAAGCATCTTTCAACCTGGCGACATCCAAAGCCGACCCAACTAAATCACATCGCTATAAGTCATCGGTGGAGAGGTTCTATTGAAGACTGCCGCTCGTTCTGGGGCACATGTTTAGATTCAGATAATGCTCTAGTGCGTATTTGTTTGCGCCTTACTGGTAAGACACCGCAAGGAAACATCTTAGGTTTCTACTTAATGGTGGCAAAGTTATGACTACATTTCAGGAACAACTAGAAAAACGTCTAGGCAGCCATATAATTGGTGCTCACCCCGAGGCAGTTTGGAACGATATCCAAAAGGCTGTGCAAACAGCAGTTATATCTGCTACTAAAGTAAACCATAAGGTAAGTGACACGCAATGAATCTCAGTAACATCTACCAAACTGTTAGATGCTTGGAAACTCTTCCCATCTGGCTCTGAACATGATAAAGAGTGGACTCAGCTTAAGCTCAGGCTGATTAAAAGCCTACGCAATTATCATGAGCAGTGGTGGGTAGCTAAAGAGATGGTAAAGACGTGAGCGACAGGTAACAGTAGACAACTGTTCAAACTTATCAAAGAAACCGGCATTAGGTATCCAAACTATTAGCGAGGATGGGTTAGGGAGAAGCAGTGGATGTATAGACTAAATATTCACATTACGTCAGGTCCTAGAACAAAGACAGACGTTCAGACGCCCGACAATAGTAGTATTTCTCTACCTTAACGCGGCATTCGACTCCGTTGATCGTGAGGTTCTGTAGCAGTGTCTGTCATTGAAAGGGGTACCAAGGAAGTACATTAACTTTATAAAACCTCTCTCTTCGAACACCAATTATAGATTAAGGGCCTATGGCGAACTGTCATCGGAATTCTTTACTTTTAGAGTTAACATTATCCTCGTCTGACTTTTCGGGGGTGGATATTCTACCAGAAGACTCACCTATTGACTTAGAAAATGCCGATCAGCCAATCAACAGCAACGTAGGACTTTGTATGTACGTACATCAGTCCAAATCGCCATACCGCATTAACACAGAGACTCAATTATCAGTTCAAATCCCATAGTATTAGAGGTAGTAAAAGTATAAGCAAGAATCGTAAAGATTAGGGTTTGAAGATATTATTCAAGAAGTAAAATTTACTGAAATAAACTTAAAAAGAAAAAGATAAAGTGATGACGAATTAAGAAAGCTAGGATTTTAGAGAACACAAATAATGAGTGCATCTGCGCCATTGCAAACGGTTTTGAGCCATGCCTTCAGCTTCTCTATCCATCGATTACTATCATCTCACGGACCCCAACTATGTAATGGACATCTACCTACATGACTCAGTTCAGTTGTCAGTCACTTCATGGATTTCTGCCACATTTTGGTCTGGCCATCTTCTAGGTTTCTTCCAACCTATTCCTACGTCGCAAAACATAGCTCGACGAGACAGTCGGTGGTTAAGAATATGCCGATGACATAGTTCTATTTGGTGAACACGCTAACAGAATGTAGTCTCCTGACTACCCTCAGCAATAGTGCAAGCGTGTTCGGGATGCGGTTCTCCCCATCGAAATGCGAAATGTTGCTTCAAGATTGGCTTGCATGAAGTAGTCGGTCGTGTCATTTATCTGGCGAATCTCATCTGTGCTGATTGCCTGGTGACTGACGAAATCTCAACAGGTATACAGAAGGCTCGATCAGCTTTTGCCAACTTGCGTCAATCATGGTGTAGGCGAAATATCCGTCTGCTAACCAAAGGTCGAGTCCACTGCTCAGTAGTTCGCTCTGTTCTACTACATGGATGCAAAACATGGCCAATCAGAGTAGAAGATATTCGTAGGTTACTGTAGTTCGATCACAGATGTCTTAGAAGCATTGCTTGCGTGTCATGGGACAAACGAGTAAGCAATGCTGTCGTTAGGAAACGATTATTAGGTAAGGATGGCAGATCAGTAGATGAAGTAGTGAAACTTCATCAGTTGAGGTGGTTGGGACATGTGTTGCCAATGGCTAACCACCGACTGCCTCGACGACCTATGTTTTGTGGTGTAGGAGTAGGTTGGAAGAAAGCTAGGGGCGGCCAGACCAAAACATGGCAGAAATCCATGAAGTCACTGACTAGTGGACTGAGTCACCTTGGTATATGCAGGCTACCTGGTTTTGGATTCCGTGAGACGTATGTCACTGATGGTTAGAGACCTTGAACGACATGGCTCAAAATCGTTTGCAGTGGCTCAGGTGCATCCACTCTTTGTGTTCAATGAAATTCTAATCTTCTAGATTCGTCATCACCTCTACCTTTCTTTTTCTAAGCATCTCACTGAATAATACTTCTTGAATCATATCTTCGCTCCCTAATCTTCTTCATTACCAGTAATACTTTTACTATCTCTACCACTATGGGATTGGAACTGACAATTGCATCTCTGTGTGCATGATGTCTGGCAATCTGAACTGATGTACGTACGTACAAAGATCTACTTTGTGACTGACTGAATCCACATTTACTGGTGAAACCAAGTTTTAAACCTTACTCACCTTTCAGTCAATGAAGGTCTATCGGCTGTATCCAGTACTGAATTTTCAACCTATATGGAATGTCATTGATCATTTGTTTAATGTAGTTATGCTGATTAATTTCGTCTTTTTTTAGACTGAAGCATTCAGACGTCGACGTCTTCCTACGCTTTTGAGTATAATAAAATTCACCAACTTATGTCGTCATTTTAAAATGTTATCGATCATACCTGATTTTTATGAACGTCATAATGCTGTAAATAATCACTATTTGTTTGGTATTTCAAGAATGTCAAGAATGTCTCTATTTCATTTGAGTAGTCAAATAATAATTATTGACTAACTTTTATCATGCGTGATTAAGTCACTTGACTTTGTATTGGTAGTTTATCTTAACTTAACGTTCATCACTTTCCAGCATCAACAACTTTTCCGAATATTTCCAGTGCGCGTGTACACTGAATATTAGGTAAAAACAGAACAATCACGCGTTTAGACCATTGTCTGGACCTCTTGACTGTTGATTCTAGCGTGATTGTTTGGGAAACGATGGTTTTCATTTAGAGCAGTCATTAAAATTTACCATTTTTTGTAGTCTCATTTTAATACCAATAACTGCATAATACATTTCTTATAAATTGTGATCGTGAACAGAGCACGCACTATTTCCTTTTTTCGTCTTACTAATATCAATGAACGTAACTCTTCTCCTATGCATGTATTAACAATATCATTTCTTCTCCTTGTATTGTCGTTTATTAGCCGATGTCGAATTATCATCTTGATATTCACTTCTCAAAAATTATTTAACAGAATGCTCATTTATCTTGATTTGTAGTATTATGCATGATTAAAGAATCAGCGTAAAATTTGCGTTTTGACGTGATTTTCCATGATTAACATTAACCATATCATTATTCCATGATAATTTGATTGATTTGTATTATTATGTGTTATAAAACTTTGTACGTAACTTTGATTGTCAAATTAAATATTTCACCATTACCAAACAAACGATGTGTTCACTTAAAGAATTAACGTATGGAAGATATAACCCAGGGTTGGTCACCAAATTGTCGAAAAAAACTGAATTATGCTGGAGTTAGTCAACCAATCATCCCAAGTTTCTGTAAACTAAAACTTATATTTTTAGGTATATCATAAAACGTTATAGGCTTCACTCAGTATCACTGGTAGGTGCAGTAATATAGGAGTGGTCTATCGAAAAGATTTTATCATGCTTAGAGATCATAAGCTACTATAGTATTATTTCTGTATACAAAGTTGGTGGTTTCTAGCTATTATTAAAAGCATCCGTACACAACTATAGTCCACAAATAGGCCCCATCAGAGAAATAAGTATTTCCAATTTCAGCTTAACTACAGACCTTTAATGCTTTTGAATTAAAATAACCTTCGTAAAAAAGTACTTTTATATAAAGCAAATCAGACAAAGAGCATCGGTGTGCTGTAAATTTAGACACCTAAAAGTAGTTAGGCGAGTCCAAGTTTCATTGCTTTCCAAGAGTGATAGAAATCCCGAATATATAAGGTGGTTAAATGTCACCGGACTACTGAAGTTATTGTCATAAAATTTGTGAACCGCTCACTTGTAAAAGCTCGGTTCAAATATTCTCCTACACAAACGTTAGACGTGATTGTAATCCTTGAAATGCCGTCGATAGATAGTTCTGACAAATGCCTCTGAATTATATTACTACTATGTGAAAACAAACCTATGATCTGACTAGGAATCTATTACAGGAAAATCTGAAGCGAAATTCGATATCACTAGGTGTCTGGTCCCTAAAGATTTATCGTTTTTGAACGACTACGGAATATGTAGAAATTTAAGTCTCACAGACATGTTCAGTTACACTAGTATTTCATGAGATACTGATGTCATTACTCTTATTAATCTACTTTCGGAAGTGGTACCAGTATGCTGATAAACGTATACAGATTGGACGCAATCAGTTTCCCTGTAAGAAATAGTTCCTAGTTCCAATCAGATTTTGCGAATGAGTATACATTTATGAGAACCCTCTAACTTTGATAAACCTACATTCAGAAGGCCATGCTTAAAATGTTAACGGTAGTTCGTAATATATTGTCTCAAAAACTAATGAATAATTTCAAAGATAAACAGCCCCGACCGAAGCTGCTACTTTGACGGGATGGTCGGGCTTGCCTATCGTGATGACCCAACCGAGCTATATTGGCTGAAACTTATGTTCCTGAAGGTTCTACCATAGCAGGCAGGCCGACTGGAGAATGATGAGACTAAAAGCAGCTACTCAAGGTCTGAGGGCGAAGTCGTACTTCTGACTGCAGAGGGGTGTGACAGCAGTAGGGTGTTTCCGTCGGACAACCAGCATCTGCAACGATGCTGCCTTCTCACAAGGAAGGAAGGGATTAGGAAAGGTCGACCCTAAAAGTGTCACACCTCACCCTTCCTCACGGATTTACGTCTCCGGCGGTAAGGGTTCCCACTAAGGGCTTACAAGAGCGGAGCTAGTACTCAAAATACCTCTCATCAAAAGGCCGTGCGTGACCGGCCTCAAGCAGTTGCACCTTGGACTATGTGGTCACGCACCCAGGTCTCTAAGACCAACGCTAATCTATCTTCCTTTTCAGGTTCCTCAAGAAACAACCTTCCGTAACAGCACACGAGACCAAATTGGTCGAAATCAAATCTTTCCTACACCCACACATACCTCTCTTATCTCCACGACTAACTCTACTCACATTCCTTTATCACACTACACAGTTAATGCAAACGAAGCGAGTTCACGAAACGTCATTCTTGGTTTCCTGAAACCCCGTTCCAGACTACATGTTGAAGCTTTTAATGTTCGGACATTGTGTCAAACCGGCAACAGGCTTCATTAGCTAGGACTTTAGAATCTCGCTCAATCGATATATTCTGCGTCTCGGAAACGCGCATACAAGATCCTAGTAAAATCACTAATCTGATTTCACCTTGTCAAAATAAAGAAGCATCCCGATTTACTCTTCGTGTATCCGGTAGCCCTGATGCTGCTTCCCGGGGTCTCGCTGGTGTAGGTATAGCATTGAGTCGTAGGGCAGAACTAGCTCTCCTAGACTGGATCCTTGTAGATAGTCGCTTGTGCGCTGTCCGACTGAACGGGACAGTAACGATTCGGAACGAAATGGACACTTGTCGTTGTCTCATCGTCGTATCTGCCTATGCTCCCACTGAATGCAGTTCAGACGAAATGAAAGATGAGTTTTACGGAAAGCTTTCGAACATCCTCCAAAACGTTAGGCGCTCTGATGTAGTAATAATGGCTGGTGACTTTAATGCTCAAGTAGGTAGACTAAGTGAAAAGGAAAGACACCTAGGTGGATCTTATGCTGTTGCGGCTCAGAGAACAGACAATGGCGACCGTCCGTTGCAACTATGCTCAGATAACCGCCTATTTCTAGCAAACACTGACTTTAGGCATAAGGAAAAGCGTCTCTTGACCTGGCGACCTCCAAAGTCGTCTCAACGTTGGACCCATCTAGATCACATCGCCATCAGCCACCGATGGAGGGGTTCGATAGAGGACGGTCGCTCATTCTGCGGCACATGTTTAGATTCAGATCATGTCCTAGTGAGAGCGTGTATTTGTTTGCGACTTACCGAACGTAGGAAAGACACCGTAAGGAAGCCTCTTAGTGCTTCACTTAGTGATAATAAATCTAGGAATATATTTCAGGAACAACTAGAAAAAGAGTTAGTTGACCATGTAAGCGATTCCCATTCGGAGGCAGGTTGGAATGATATCAAAAATGCTGTAGAAACAGCAGTGATATCTGCAAGTAAGGTTGACCGTAAGGCTAGAATGAATCCGTGGATCTCAATAGCATCCACCGAACTGATGGACGCAAGTATGTTCGGGATGCGGTTTTCCTCCTCGAAATGCAAAGTTTTGCTTCAAGATCGGGTTGCATCGGCACCTGAACTATTGAAAGGGTGTACTGCGCAGCAGTTCGCTCTGTCCTACTATACGGATGCGAAACATGGTCGTTAAGAGTAGAGGACTTTCGTAGGTTACTAGTCTTCGATCATCGGTGTCTCCAAAGCATTGCTCGTGTATCCTGGGACGGTAACGTCTCTCCTGTTTGTGATCCATTCAATACGTAAAAAGATAGTACATGACTACGTACGTGATGATTATGCTGTCACCCACTGACATTTTGCTGAAGTGGCTGTGGTCGCATCAGATAGAACAGCGGTCTAAACAGGATAAACAGTAACGATAGAATGTGAAACTTCACCCATGTGTTCAGTCTTTTAGGGTTTTTCTTGAAGCGCATTTGTAGAGTCTAGGTAAAATCGTTTTATACAAGTGATCCGAACTACTCAGCAGGTTTAACACTATTACTACCTAGTCTCATTATTTTAATGCCTATTCAGGAAATATTCATGAAGTCGGTATTCATTGTTTATTTCTTGATTTTTTGACCCATTTTGTTGCATGCGTATGCACTTATTCCAAGGGATTTGAATCTTAAGAGAGATGTGGCAGTGCTACGGTTAGCTAGTTATAGCAAACTCATGTTTTAAATAATGTCGAGAATTAAGTAAATGGATAGTGTTTCCCATTTAAATTTATTATGTCATGGAAAATATAAGGCAACTCACACTAATGTTTTCATTCTGATGATCAATAGGGTGAACATATTTCATACATTAGTACAGTCTATTTCTAGTTTTTTCTTACATAGAATGTAAGAGTTGACTAGTATTCATCTCAGATGCATGTTTCCCATTGGTCTTTTGTTGTTATAAGTTTGACATTTTATATTAATGGATGGTAGGTAACGTAAAGATAGTTGGTACTTGGTTGACAGAACGACCAGAGACAATTTAATGATCTAAATTTGTTTAGGCGGTTGGTTATATGATGCAGAGAAGTACCCACATTACAAGAGTAGTGACTATGTAAACACAGTAAGTCCTGGGAGTATGACGAAAAGTCGCAAAAACATGAAGTGTCTCACAGGGAAATAGATACACCAGCACAAGATAAGTTGTTTGTTCAAAACGTATATTCACAATAAGATAGATTATTTAGTTATGCAACTCAGATAAGGCATCAAGTAAGTTAGCTTGTGAAACAAAATCTTGTCTTGCAATTTGAGCTTTCTGTTTAGCTAATTCCAATAAATTTTCTAGGTCAGCTCCGCTGAAATTTCAAGAAAGAAATATGTGATTTAAGCAGTATTTTTTATGGTGTAAAATAAAGCTTACAAAGATATACCGTGATTTATTACTACTTTATATGGATTAATAAAATGTTGAACTGGTGGTTTTGATACAAAATTAATTCTGGGTCCAAAACAGACAAACGAAATGCCAACTGTAGGTTTGCTCGCTTTGTTGCTATTGATATACAGTCCAAACCGGGGTTGATGAAACACAGTAAAAATTGAATGACTGACAATCAGCTGTGTTAGGGTCAAAGTAATCGATGTGGTAAAAATATTTGAATATTTCTTGTAACTACCGTACAAAAAGATCATTAAAAACAACTGTGCATTGTTATTCAAGATGCTTAAAAATCTCGGGATTCTTTTCCTTTTTTACCGAATTAAGCTATGTTGTATGTATTGTACAAGTCAACGACAGAGTCTGAAGATAATAGATAGCATATATATGTGTTGCGTAATTGAATGTAATTTAAGTAACTGTGTGAAATTACCACTTACACACAACTAATTATGAAGACTAACCGTTCCTTAGTAAAAGGAAACAATAAACTGGCTTAGAACAGTCTGGCAAGGAGTGGAATCTAAGATGCGCGGTTCCTCCTATTCGGGACTCGTCAGTCAGATGCACCAGCATCCCAGAGTTGACATTCACTTCGACAGTCGAATCCAGTTCCGTCTGCTTCGAGCACCATCGCATTATTCACTTAGCTATCGGTTCAAATAGCTGTGGGCCCATATACCATGTAAGACTGATCAAACTTCATTCGAAAATGTTTTTTTAAAATTATAATATTAATCTCATGAAGTTGAAATACCTCATTTTCTCAGTGCGTGAATCATTTGCAATGAGTTCAAGTGACAGCATACCATTCTCAATTCGAGGAGTAGTTGCAGATCGAGTACAAGCCGACAGAACAGAGAGACGTTCTTTGACATTAGATGGTGGTTTGATCATCAAATGTAAGCCTAAACGTCCAGGACGAAGTATGGCAGGATCAATCATATCTTTGCGGTTAGTTGCACCAACAACAAAAACTCGACCTGATCTATGTTTATCAATACCATCCAGTTCAACTAGAAGCTGATTGACCAAACTAACTCGACTACCTAGATGAAGACAGGAAATCAGGTAAACAATAAAAGTGAAATGTTAATTTCTTAAAGACATATAGTAGTGAAATCTATTTTGAATAACTTTTGAAAACCAGTTGCTTTATATGCTGCAGATTAACAATACACCTTCCCATCACGAAATCCTTGTGTGTACATGACATGTTAAGAAATCTTGTTGTTTCGCATTGGTTATCGATATGCAGGAGCGAACAACTGTGTTTGTGTTACGAATGCACGTAAACATGTCATTTTGATATACTTGAACTATTACGAGTTCACCCTAGTTGGTGAACGAGAGTGAGGATCGATGATCCGGGGACACAACAGGCTGCTCTACTGAGAACGTCCCAAACCCCTATTGAGTAAGAGGAGAAGACTTGATATGAAGTAGAACACGTATTCTACAAGCATCCAGAAAGTACGAGGTCCGAATCCAGAAGAGAATCAGGATCCGGGTGATAAAACGTTACATATAATGCATATTTATACAGTTAGGTCGAATAGGAAACAACACTTTTTATCTGACTTCCCCTGATTTAAACAACGAATCGCCACATTATTTCACTTCTCAATAAATGTTAATTTTCAGTGGAGTAAATCGTTTTCTGTAACAATAATCACTATCGAAAAATTAAGACCTCATCAGTGTGCTCTGCTTAGAATTCGACAATGCAACGGGGAATCGAGAGGTAAGATCCACTATAAAAATGAAGGAAAACTGTAAAAAACAATCTGATCTATTTCATGTACGTAAGTCTGTGTAATAAACGTTAAGGTGGATTTTAAATGTAAGAGGTAGAAATAATGTTAGACCACCAGTGGAAACTTGTAGGCGCGATCATCATCTATTATACATGGAGAGTGACTGGCTAACACCCGACACCGTTGAACTCCACTCGTCACGGCTTCTCACTAGGCCCCCAAGAATTGCCTTACGAAATCAGTCACTAGTGAGTACACGATAATCATCGGTATCATAGACTCACGAAGTCAGGTCAGTCTAGTGAAATTACATTCTACCGACAAATCGAGAATTAGTGACGTACAATAACCCGGAAATATAGTAGTTTCTTAGAACTTTATACTTTACTCACTTCTATCAAGTACTTTGGACCGGATAAAAAAATGATGGAGTATTTCTTACTTGATCTAAATTTTCTTGGCATTGTCAGTCTAGTATTAAACATACATGAAATTAAATGATAAAATAATTATCAGTTTTTTGGTGATATGTAGAAATTAGTATTTCTGACATTTCGTAACTAAATGTAAGAGTAGATAAATCAATAACAAAAAATATCCCACTTTGTTTCCTTTGTACTATTTGAAATTGTGTTAATTTATTTCGGTTGTTTATTTGTTTAATCTTAAGAAATGACTTGCATTAAATCATCAAATGTCAGAAAAGTGCATGAATAATCAAACTGAAACATAATAGATGCTAACATATAACAGATTGTTACTAAGGGTTGTGGTTGGTAATAGCTTATCTACAATGACATAATTTGTATTGAGTATAAGGTAGTATGTCTCAATGACGATAATTGATGGAACGTTCTAGAAAACTTCATTTATTTATATAAATAAAAGGAGGGGGAAGGCGAATATATATATATATATATATACATATATATATATATATTTTAAGAAATAGATGAAATTGACAGACAATATCAAATAGCATAATGTGACTCAGAGATTTAAATATTGAAATGATCGGAATGTCACTTCATCACCTTTGGATTATCCAAGTTATGAGTGGCACGAATCAGATAAAATGAATAAATATTTATTTAGTCACTGTCATTTTATTAATTATTGTAATAAAACTGTTATGATATTAAACAATTTAGAGCTTTTAATGTCGGATGGTTGGTTTAATACCAGAGTGTTTAAATGATAAAATTATACACATCAAGATCAGGTGAAACTCAATCACACAAATTAACTAGGATTGCAGAAACATGTACTGATATCATGAAAGACGTCTACCAGGAAATAAAAAAGAATATTCGGTTACCTGTAGATTCATCACTATCGCGTCTTGGACAGATAGCATCTATTTCATCAAAGAAAATCAGGCACGGTTGACAAGCACGTGCTCGTTCAAATATTTCTCGAATACGACGTTCACTTTCCCCTTGAAATTTATTGAGGACTTCTGGACCTTTAACTGACAGGAAATTAAGACCAGCTTGGTTGGATAAGGCTTTAGCTACGAGTGTTTTCCCACATCCGGGTGGACCCTCAAGTAGTACACCTCCAGAACGTCGATGTAAAATCTGAGCGCGTTCCCAATCGTCGATTAGAAGCTAAATACATGAATAGAAATAATACGTAGCAGTTACATCTTTGAATATCAGGTAGTGAGATACAGTCGCTTATGCGCTGTCCGACTAAACAGCACGGTATGGACTCGTTAAGATAAAGAAACTCGCCGTTGCCTCTTTGTCTTATCTGACTATGCTCCCACTGACTGCAGTTCAGACGAGGTGAAAGACGAGTTTTACGGAAAGATTTCAGATCACCTCGAAAAAGTTTGGCGCTCTGATATAGTAATAATGGCTGGTGACTTCAAAGCTTAAGTAGGTAGACTAAGTGAAAAGGAAAGACACCTAGGTGGATCTTATGGTGCCGTGGATAATCGAACAGATAATGGCGACCGTCTGCTGCAACTATGCTCAGATAACCGCCTATTTCTAGCGAACACTAACTTTAAGCATAAGGAAAAACATCTTTTAACCTGGCGACACCCAAAGCCGACCCAACTAGATCACATCGCTATAAGCCATCGGTGGAGAGGCTCTATTGAAGACTGCCGCTCATTCTGGAGCACTCGTTTAGACTCAGACCATGCTGTAGTGCCAGCGCATATTTGGTTGCATCTTACTAGACGTAGGAAAAATATCGCAAGGAAACCTCTTAGGGCTCCACTTAATGATAATAAAGCTAAGAATATATTTCAGGAACAACTAGAAAAACAGTTAGACAACCATGTAGTAAGTGATGCCCACCCTGAGGCAGCTTGGAATGATATCAAAAAGGCTGTGGAAACAGCAGTGTTATCTGCTATTAAGGTAAACCATAAGGTTAGGGAGAAGCCGTGGATTCCAGTGGCATCTACGGAACTGATGGGTGCGCGGATACAGTGGAAATATTGTTAATTTTTACGTAGTTTTTAGTTATGACCTACAGTTATTTAAACGATGTGATAAAGGCCTAGCGATTAGAACTTAATGATTATCTAGGGACAACATATTATATGTATATATATATATATATATATATATATATATATATATATATATATATATATATATATATATATTCGTTCGTTGATATTCCACAAATGTGACGATCTGCTGTAATTTACGAAAATTTTCAATGATATTTAATAACTCATTTTTGAGGTCAGATATTTTCAAACAACCAAAAGAAGATCAATTTGAAATGTAATAGGTAAGAGATAAGTTTAAAACTTTTACAAAAGTAAGATAACATAAATTTGCCCACCATAAACCGGTTATATAACTGTTGTCTAGTTGTTTCGAGACCACCGACATCAGCCCAAGTCACATCTGGAATAGTTACGAATTCGGCAGTATTTTTAACTGCTGGGACAACAACAGCCAATGCTTTATCGACAATTTCTCGTGTGACGATTAAGGGATATGTAATTGGTTCCTGAAAAAAAGAGACAAACGAGTTGAAATTCAATGTGAGATGAAACTTGCCAGTAAAATCTCTAACAGAATGCCGATTTACATGTAAGGTGGAAACAATCCCTAGTACTAAGCATTTCAAATATCTTATATTTACAAACTCCTGTCGCCTCCTTGACATCTATACAACTACTTAAGCCTATTACCCTCGATGTGGCATGGGCCGCCGACCAGCATTATCGAACAAACTTTGCTCTAGGCCTTCCACTCCAATCTCCCCCGGCTGCTACTTATTCTTTTTATGTCTGTCTCCGATTCTCGGGGCAATGTGTTCTTTGGCCTTCATCTTTTTCTCTGACCCTGAAAACTCCAGGTCAGGGTCTTCCATTCAATTAATTTCTCCACGATAATCCGTAGTCACGATTCGGTTGATACACGATCGATCTTTACAGAATTCAGCCTGTTGATTTCGAAGTTGGGTGTCTACACAACCATTCTCGTTCGGTTCAATAACACCCCGTTGAAAATTTTCCTGCTATTGATAGTAGAGTGATGGTCCTATAGTTCTCACACTTGCTAGGATCTCTCTTCTTTGGTATCTTGATAAGATGTCCTTCTTTTCATTCTTCGACCTTTGGTGGGCCAACACCATTTGGTAGGTCCGTGGGTGCTACTTCGATGTTGGGTGGGTTCAGTGGGGCTGGTCGATTCGATAGTTCTTTAAAGTGCTCTACCCACCTGTTTCGCGGTTCTTGAATTTCGGTGAATGGTTTGTCTTCCTTGCTTTCACCGGTCGTTCTGGTTTACTATATTTTTCAGCAAGCTTCTTCGTTGTATCGTACGGCTGTCTCATGTTTCCTTCTTTTGCAACTTTTTCTGCTATCATCGTTAGATCTTCCATATATTTTCGCTTATCAGCTTTTAATGCTTCTCTTCACTTGCTTGTTTGTCTCTGTGTATTTGACCTGTGCCGTGGCTTTTACCGTTTGTGTTCGACCGTTATTGATTGCTGCCTTCCTGTTCTACCTTTCTTACATCTTATTCAGAGTATAAACAGACAGCCTTTTTACATGACGGTGCTTCTTGTGGCACAGTACCTCCTGAAATGCTTCTTAAATCCCTTTCCAAATGCTCTCTATTGTAGTTTCCTCTTTACTTAGTAGACTGTGAGACGCTCAACATTTTTGTTCCTCTCTCCTAATTCATGTCGTTCCATCGTCTTTGTATCCGGCTTTGTCCATTTCAACCTTGGTGTTTGGGTCTCCTATCAAAATTTTCAGCCCTTTGCCTGGGTTTTTTCTATGATTTGCTGTAGACTCTCATTATAATGATCCTTACAGTCTTCATCGCCATCGTTGATGAGCACGTAGCACCGAATCACATTAATCGTTATCCCCTCTTTCTTCATCTTGAAGGATGTTTTGATGATCCTGGGTCCATGAGATACTCATCCTAAAAAATGACTGTTTTTTGGACATTATCAGTGTGTGAATCACTTTCTTCTTCATGACCAAAGAACAATAGTATCAGAAAAAGCATCGGCCTTATGATTTCCGAATAAACTCGGCTTCCTCCATGAGGCATCAAAACTCTTCTAAATGAAAACCTAACTCCTAGGGCAGAGTTCAAATGGTTCAGACTAATTTTTCTAGTTAGTTTTTTAACCGTTTTGTTTTCTAGGGGGTGGGGTTGATAATTTCATGTCAAACCCTACTCCTTTATTCGGGCTTTGGACCGACAGTATCCCTGTAATGGATTTAGGTGAAGCTGATACAATTAGTACCTGATGAATAAGGAATGTTAGTTTGTTTACTCAGCGCAGAAAAAATACGAAACTAATCCCATTTTAAATTTATTATAAATCAATGACTGTGAATAGATAGTAAGCAATGTATCAGTCATAAATCTGCCCATAGAATTATGACACTTTTTGTCAATACAAAGGCAACATAAAGATATATAGTTTTTTTTGTGATTATGACTCTAATTGCCTTGATTGGTTTAACATTTTCATATAAATATTCATTCATGTATATTAGAGTAAAGCCTGATGACGATCTAATCGAAAACAATATTGTTCGCTTATATGTGTTGTTCTAATTTTCACAATGGGAATCTTTAATATTCATAAATAGTTGCTTACAACCAGATATCGTAGTAAACTAACAATACCAGATGTTTTGTGGATGAATGCTTCATTTCGAATACTTTAAATCTGGGAAATTATATTTCATGGATGGGTGTCAGAAGTGACCCAGAAAGTTAGGAAATCATCTCCCACCACAGTGAGTTGATGTCTAAGACGAATTGTAGGTTGAGATCTAAGCGAACATACTCATTACAGCGTTTTTAGAAAAAAAACCTGATTCAACCAAATGATATACATAAGATAACATACCGAAACAGGATTATCAGCAATAGATGAATCAATGGAGAAATTAGCATGTATCTTTTGACCGTTTCCAACACGCTCCGCACTGTTAGTATCAAGGTTATTCAATTCATCGTCAGCATCATCATCATCATCACTAAAATCGTTAACTTTATTGGTTAAACAGGACATTTTTAGCTGAGCTACCAAACGAATTAAATCTCCAATTTCGTAACCGGGTGTCCGACGGGCTAATTCAAGACATGTTAAATTTTCACTGAGTTGTAGCTGATGGCGATTGGGACTTAGTGGTTTTGATGAAATGGTAAAATTGGTATCATCTGACAAGTATTGCTGCAATAATCTAATTTGACAGAAGTAAAAGTAAATAAGTGATCGATGCAAACAAAAATGATTCAAAAAACACTACCAGTCGACACTGGTTTCTAATTGTCATGGTACGAATGAGTGTGGACAGTTCACTGTGCTATCCAAAGTGTTTACATATGGTCATAAGCTTGTAAACTCTACTAAGAAAGTCCTACTAACTGCCTTCACAAAGCGAGTGTTGTTTACGAGGGTGAGATGACAAAACCCAAATGCCCGGTGCTTAAACCGCGTTGATGGATACTAAGGGTCAACTTAACAGAATTGGAAAACTGATTTTAAACCTGTTTCAAGACTCTGAGGGAACGGGTTGCGTATGAATTTATTTTCCGTCATCCGATGCTCTTCCACTATCTTGTGGATTAGATCTACAAGTAAAAGGCTTAAAAACACGGCATCTTAGAAAAGCTAACTGCTTTGGTTTGGACTCCCGAGTAGCAATACAATATTTTGTGTGACTCATTTTATTTTGGCGCCTAGTTTTACCAGATTTTTCTATTACAATATAGCTTTTTGTTCTTTCAAACATCAAAATCTACTGAAATGCAGTTTGAATTTAGATACTTAAATTTTTACCGCAAGAAATCTATGATGATGATTCCATTTATTTTTGAGACGAATTGCGAGTACAGATTCGTTAACCCGATTTTCAATCATATTTCCAGTGAGGGCTAATTTTTTAAATCAAGTGAAGAGAAGCCGGGTTAGACTAGTGAACCATCGTCATCACTCATTCAGTTCCCCGTAAAAGTTGAGTGCTGTTATTAAGATGAATATTCACTGACTTCAGCAAACCTGTGTTAACAGGTACTCGAGAGTTGATATGGCTTGGATTATTTCCAAATATCACTACAAAATTTCATTTGAAGTTCTTCTTTACTTATTACATGGAGATTCATCTAACTCATGATTAAATTCTAGAATAGTTACTAATCTTTTTTAAATCAGATTATGTATTAATACTCGTTTTCTACTAATTTTTTACGGTTTTTAAGCCGGTAGGTCTTTCAGTTAAAAGTTTCAACTAAGTTGTTTTTCTTGATGTCACTAAGCAACAGCAGTACTATTAATAATACAAAAATATATATCTGTGTCATTGTGTCAATATTGTTCATTCGGTAAACGGAAAACCATTTAAGAGGACTAAAATTTAGTCCCAAGATATCACTATAGCAAACTATTTTCCCAATAAAATTTTCGGTTTATGAACTATGCTTAAAGGTACAACCAATGATTAATTGAATGATACTATTTGCGATTCTGGGTTCTGATTTAACCAGAACTGTATTGCCTCAAGTGAGACAGTTACCGAAATTTGAATGAATTACCTTTATAGAGCCTAGAAAATCATAATATAAACTGTTGAACAACATGGTGTAGTAGCCATCATATAAAACTATGCCCATGGAAAGCGTGAAAGCCACTTGACAGAGGCATAGTATAGATATTTTCTATGACAGAACAGAGGTAGAAAGTATAAAAAATAGACCAAACTAAACGATACTAACTATGAAATTTCAAGAAGTGGATATTGTGAATATGTCATGAAGCGCCTAGTTTAGCCCCCCACTGGAAACTTAAGGTCTAACAACAAAACTCAAATTTACTGCTGTAAGACTACATATTGCACTTGGCAAAGCAATAGTTCAGGTTATAATGACAGTTAATACAGTCAACTTACCTTAAACGATGAGACTCATTTAACATTCCAAATGTCAACTTCTGTGTAAACAAGTCCAATATACTTTGAGGTAGACTAGCTAGAAGACATCGAGTTTCTCCAATAAGCACGACACCTGAGTTGACCATATCTAAAATCATTAAGAATGTCACACATGAATTAGATAGGAAGCAAAAAAGATTCTTAGATAATATCTTATTATATATGAAAACAATAAATGCAACAAATAATGTGACGTGTGGCGCTGAAATAAATAGAGCAAACATTATATGATGGTAAAAATCAAAACCACACCTGTTTTTAACCAAGTGGTTGACAATCCAACCTCTAGAGTACCATACCATAAATCTGAACGAACAATAAATTGGTGGGGATGCTATGAGTTTATGAATAGCCCAAGTAACCATGTTATTTCATTTGTTACATGATAATTAGGTTTCAAACTCCCAAGAAAAGCTCAATTATGTCTTTGGATGTTTTCTTAGTGAAGCAGAATCTACCGTATATAATCTCCAGTAATTTATATTATATAACTTGTTCCAGTAAATTTCATTTGATCTCAACGTAGACGTCGATCATAGAAAAACTATTTCAGTAACCAAGCAGAGGATCGTTTAAATTGGTTTTATTATTTTGATTTCTACCATACATATCTTTTTAGAATTAAGAAAATATATTACAATAGAGGACTAAAAGCAGCTACTCAAGGTCTGAGGGTGAAGTCGTTCTACTGACCGTAGAGAGGTGTGACAGCAGTAAGGTGTCTCCCTCGGACAACCAGCATCTGCAGCGATGCTGCCCCTTCACGACAGAAGGAAGGGATTAGAAAAGGTCGACCTAGAAATATCACACCCCACCTTACCTCACAGTCCGTTTCTGGCGGTGAGGCTTTTTAAGCAAGAGGGGAACTAGCATTCTACAAACCCATAAAAAGGCCGTCAGTGACCGGCCTCAAGCAGTTGTCCGTTGGGTTATGCGGCCACGCTTCTAGGTCTCTAGGACCAACGCTAATCTACCTTCCTTTTCAGGTTCCTCAAGAAACACCTTTCCACGGTACGGGCAACCGGTAAGTGGCATCCGCCCTCATACCAGTAAAAGCACACGAGATCAAATCGGTCACAATCAAATCTTTCTTAACTGACTGACTGGATAGTACAACTCAGCTACTAATTTGTAATAGCGTCATGTTTCTGAACAAAAATACTCCATGCAATTGGTTTCCTGAAAAATTTAAACAAAACAAAACAGACGATATTTGCAGAGTACGATGAATTAATTGTATGTTGTCCGCTTCTCTTTAGCTGCTTACTAGCTGATAATTTTAATTAAAACTAATTAATTAATTAAACTAATTAATTATTTCTAATATAATTAAGAGGTGTAGGGAGGATTTGGCTGTGACTTATTTGGTCTCGTGTGCCGTTTTGGGTATGAAGGCGGATGTCACTTTCCAACTGTCCACACTGTGGAAGGGTATTTGTTGAGGAACCTGAAAAGGAAGGTAGATTAGCGTTGGTCCTAGAGACCTAGAAGCGTGGCCGCATAACCCAACGGACAACTGCTTGAGGCCGGTCACTGACGGCCTTTTTATGGGTTTGTAGAATGCTAGTTCCCCTCTTGCTTAAAAAGCCTCACCGCCAGAAACGGACTGTGAGGTAAGGTGGGGTGTGATATTTCTAGGGTCGACCTTTTCTAATCCCTTCCTTCTGTCGTGAAGGGGCAGCATCGCTGCAGATGCTGGTTGTCCGAGGGAGACACCTTACTGCTGTCACACCTCTCTACGGTCAGTAGAACGACTTCACCCTCAGACCTTGAGTAGCTGCTTTTAGTCTTACTGTTCTCCGATCGGCCTGTCTGGCATGGTAGAATCTAAAGGAACATATGTTCCAGCCAATATAGCTCGGTTAGGTTATCACGATAGGCAAGCCCGACCACCATGTCAAGGTAGCCGCAACGGTAGAGAATAGTGAATATCATATTGAAAATGAATGATCAGTTATCAATGGGTAATAATTAGTTTCAAAAAAGGGAGATTTTTTATAATTTCTGAAGATAACAGTTTTAGAATATTAAGATAATTTCATAGGTTAATACAAAATTTCGGAGGTTTAAAAAATAGATGTGGACATGCAAGGACAACTCACTAAATTATGAATACAATTAGTTGATAAAAGGCTCAAAATATTACCAGGGTAGTTGACGGAAGACTACTAACTCTTGAATATAAAGGTCAGGTACACATGAGACTCATACTGAATTGAACAATCTAACTACTTAAATACAACCCTAGTACATCTGCCAACCTGCGTCACTTATGGCGTAGGCGTGATATCCGTTCGTTAACCAAAGGGCGGGTGTACTGCGCAGCAGTTCGTTCCGTTCTCTTATATGGCTGTGAAACATGGCCGTTAAGAGTAGAAGATGTTCGTAGGTTACTAGTATTCGATCATAGATGTTTAAGAAGCATTGCTCGTATATCGTGGGACAGCCGAGTAAGCAATGCTGTCGTTAGGAAACGAGTATTAGGTAAGGATGGCAGATCAATAGATGAAGTGGTGAAACTTCATCAGTTGAGGTGGTTGGGACATGTGTTACGTATGCCTAACCACCGACTGCCTCGACGAGCTATGTTTTGTGGTGTAGGAGTAGGTTGGAAGAAAGTTAGGGGCGGCCAGACCAAAACATGGCACGAATCCATGAAGTCACTGACAAGTGGACTGAGTCATGTTGGTAGATGTAGACTACCTGGTTGGGGTCCGCGAGACGAAAGTCATCAATGGTTAGAGACCTTGAACGACATGGCTCAAAATCGTTTGCAATGGCGCAGGTGCATCCACTCTTTGAGCTCTCTCAAATCCTAATCTTCTGGATTAGCCAGCACCTCTACCTTTGTCTTTCTAACCTTATCTCACTGAATTATATTTTTTGAATAATATCTTCGAACCCTAGTCTTCTTTATTAACATTAATACCTCTACTATCTTTATCACTATGGGATTTGATTTGACATTTGCGTCTCTGTGCTAATAATGTGGTATGGCAACATGAACTTATGTACATACGTACGAAGTTCTACGTTGCAACTGACTGACTGACCCTAGTACATCATCAACATGGTGAGCCATATGAGGAGTGGGTCGGTGAAAAGATATGTGGATACGTTTAACGGTAGTAGAAACAGTACATGCTGCCCATTATGAACAATTAGATGTGAATAAGTATTAAGAATTGCAAAGCTTATTCATACCTCTAAGTAATTGACTTTTTAAAAGACAAGTAAGACGGAAAGTTCCAACAGGAGAGGAATGCTTCTCCATACTTTCAATATCGTCCAAATGCAAAATACATGGTGAGGAATTCTAGTCCGCTTTGAATTAAAGAATTAAATATACCTTGGCTTGGTTGAATATATCCATCCAAGAACGCATAGATGATGGTACTGTACCAACCGAAACAGTGATGATCTTTAAACCTAGGGTCTTCAATTAATCAAAGAAAACCTAGATGATTACTCCACATGCTGCTTCTATCAATGTAGTTTTACCACAAAATGGAGGGCCATTGATCAATAAGGTTGGCCAAATAGGTAATCCTATGTCGGAAAGCAAGTGGCACGTGAGAAATCCTTTTATTTGCCTCTAAAATATTTATACTGAAACAAAAACTACTTACTCGTAAATCCTTAGGAACTGTAAATTTGATATCCGATAACGTAGAAGAAACAGATCGAGGAGAGATTGATTCAGCTAAATATAGAAATCAAAATTATGCATGTTTACTTGTTGATTCTAGGTTTATCCTGGAACGCTTACGTGGAAGCTTTCTATCTAAATCTACTGACATATCTAGTTTAGGAGACTCCGATTCGTCAATTACAATAGGTGAATCTTTTGGAACAGGATTGACCATTGTACGAGCGTTTACTAGTCTCAACGCTAAACAAAGTAAAAAGGTATAAATACATACCTTTACAAGCATCTTTGCGCCATAACTTCACATTAGATCTGTTACAACTTGTAGATTTATCTCGAATTACATAGTCTGAAAATTCATCCACAGATGAAGAGTCTACAGAAATCTTTACAAACTATGGGAGAATAAACCAAAACTTTCTAAAACAAACTTGTTCGGCAAGCGGAATAAGATACGCCCGTTGGATCTGTGGAGATCCATATCCAGATCCGAAATTATTCATAATGTAGGCCCTATATGAATAATAAGGAGTTTAAATTTTAAATACAGATAACGGATTTCCGATTGCTCGAAACGAAACTTAACCAATAGAACAATAATGCTTAATTGATTTTGTAACCAAATAATCTTGAAAAATCATATCAGTGTTTAGATTTTGAAATTTTGGTGATACACGGAAACACTTAAACCATCATCTTATCTTAGGAAAACACAAAAACATTTGATCTTAGAAGCATGATACGTTACTTAAAGAATAAATGTATATCAGTCATTGGTGCTACTAAATGTAATGGTAGGAAGCGACTGAGAGATCCTAAACTTATGCAGAAACTGTTGGATGGCTTCGAAGTACATCATTTATAAATCAAAATGTGGTACAGTGAAATTATATAAGTTCGCAGGACCCAGTTTCTCAGATCATGGTGTTTTCGCTTGTTACGCTGATAGATATTCAGTCAAAATATCTCCTTATCAACTTCAAGCCTCACTTTTTTCAATTTTTATTCAGAATATCCGTTCTGCATTAGATCGACGCATATATATTATGTATGCCTACGTAGCATTCAATTTGAACTTACTCTTAACTAAGCCTTGCTTTAATCATCACACATTTTCCAAAAATCCAAGTGTACTTAAGTTGAACGCAATATTTTAAGACCGAAACCAATAAACACATAACTACCCCAATATTTATACTGTGAAGTTACAATAAGCTACAACAAAGAACTAATTAAGATTATCACATGGACACCAATCAAGTAATATACGCCCAATAAACTGGTTCAGTCCAAATGTTGATGATTTCGTGGAATAGTGCCATGTTTTCGTTTAGCTTTCTCTTAGCCTATTCTTACACCATACAACATCCTGCGAAGTAGGTGGTGGTTGGGCGCAGCCACTCCAGTTGATTAACATTTACTATCTTGTCAATCGATTTGATTAGTGCTAGGGGTCACACCTCCACTGTTATTTTAAATGGGATGCTTCTTCACCATCATCTAAGATCAGCAGTGCTGAAGGTAGGTTAAAGTTGGGTATTAAGAGTTAGGCTGATCTGAGTTTGGTTTTCCATATTCAGGATGGGAAATCTATCATGGGATGACATCAGCAATAATGTAATTCTTCGTCACTATACTATTTATGAACCCAAAAAACTAATAGTTGAGATTTAGAGTAAGAGTTAGAACAGGATGGTATTATCTAGGTCCACTAAATGCTTTTGAAATGTAGTCAGTCACAGCAAGCTCTGTATCAGACGATGTCCCTGAGGATCATCTGTTGTCTAGCTTAAACTAGAAACCATCCCAGATTCACTACTCGGTTCCAAAATAGAAATTTTTAGTAATTTGGTCGAACTAAGTTTTATGGACAATATCTAACGGCGAAAATAGTTAGTAATCAATCGAGTAATAGAATAATGACACGAAAAGCTATCAGTATATTTGGAACTCAAGTAAATGCTGAGTCTAATTTTAAAGGAAGACTTTGTGCCGATGTAGATGCTGAATAGTGATAAGTGTTTGTTCGTCACATGGATGCGTGTTTTGAACAAAAGACATATTAACAAGCGTTATTCTTTGAAGCGCATTTAGATTTAACCTTCGACAAACCCAAGAATCGGATTATCAAAAATAATAACCAAGTAATGTCACGGCTCGAACAATCTGAAGGTCCATTTCAGTATCCAATACACAATTCGGCAGTGTTCAATGGATGATGGTCTGACCAACCGACTTCACTAATTCATTTGGCAGTTATTTATGAAGTTGTCTGTCCGTTGATTCACTGAGATACTTTCCGGCTCTTACTTACTGACTTACTGTCGCCTCTTACCCTCAATGGAGCATAGGCCGCCCACCAGTTTTCGCCAACCAACTCTGTCCTGGGCTTCCCTCTCAAGTTCTGTCCAATGTTTGTTCATTCCTCTCATATCTTTCTCTTTTTCATGGCGTAATGTGTGTCTTGGCCTTCCTTTTTTCCTTTTGCCTTGAGGGTTCCATGTGAGGGCTTGTCTCGTGACGCAGTTAAGTGCTTTTCGTAGTGTGTGTCCTATCCACTTCCACCGCTTCTTCCTGATTTCCTCCTCTACTGGAATCTGGTTTGTTCTCTCCCACAGTACGTTGTTGCTGATGGTGTCTGGCCAACGAATACGAAGTATTTTGCCTAAACAACTGTTAATAAATACTTGTATCTAATGGATGATGGCTTTCGTAGTTCGCTAAGTTTCCGCTCCATACAGTGGAACTGTCTTGACATTTGTATTGAAAATGCTGATTTTGGTTTTGGTTGAAAGTTGTTTGGAGTTCCAGATATTTTTCAACTGTAGAAATGCAGCCCTTGCTTTGCCAATCCGCGCCCTCACGTCTGCATCCGATCCACCTTGGTCCTCCAAGGCATCTCCATCAAGAGTGATTTCGTTGGTGCATGTAGTGTTGCATCGGAGAATTTCGCTTTTACCTTTATGTATGTTGAGACCTACTGCTGCAGAGGCTGCTGCTACACTGATCGTCTTCTCTTGCATTTGTTGTTGCGTGTGCGATAGAAGAGCCAGGTCATCTGCGAGGTCCAGATCGTCCTGTTGCGTCCTAGATGTCCACTGAATACCCTGCTTCCCTCCAGATGTCGACGTCTTCATAATCCAGTCGATAACCAGGAGAAAGAGAAAGGGTGAGAGTAAGCAACCTTGCCTCACACCGGTCTTGACCTCAAAAGAGTCTGTTAGATGTCCTTCGTGTACGATTTTGCAGTTGAATCCATCATAAGAATTCCGTATGATGTTAACTATTTTCTCAGGCACACCGTAATGTCGAAGAAGCCTCCACAGTGTTTTCTTGTCCACGCTATCGAATGCTTCCTCGTAGTCGATGAAGTTGATGTAGAGTGGTGAGTTCCATTCAACTGATTGTTCCACAATGATCCTTAGTGTAGCAATTTGGTCAGTACACGATCGATCCTTACGAAATCCGGCCTGTTGATCTCGAAGTTGGACGTCTACGAAGTCCTTCATTCTGTTTAACAATACCCTGTTGAAGACTTTGCCTGGTATTGAGAGAAGAGTGATGCCTGTGTAGTTCTCACACTTGCTGAGATCGCCTTTCTTTGGTATTTTGATCAGGTATCCTTCTTTCCAATCTGATGGTACTTGTTCCTCATCCCAAATCTTCTTGAAGAGGATGTGAAATGTTTTCGCAGTTGCTTCTACATCTGCTTTCATTGCCTCTGCTGGAATGTTGTCTGGTCCTGCTGCTTTGCCGCTCTTGATTTGTCTGATGGGAATACTGATCTCCTCAATCGTGGGTGCGCCAATATTAATTGGGAGGTCCGTAGATGCTGATTCAAATTTGGGTGTGTTCAGTGGGGTTGGTCGATTCAAGAGTTCGTTGAAGTGCTCTACCCACCTATTTCGCTGTTGTTCAGTGTTGCTGATTACTTTTCCTTCCTTGCTTTTCACTGGTCGTTCTGGTTAACAATAGTTTCTGGCCAGCTTCTTTGTTGTATCGTACGATTGTCTAAAGTTTCCGTCTCTTGCAGCCTTTTCCGCTAGGTCTTCCACATGTTTTCGTTTGTCGGCTCTGATGCTCTTCTTCACTTCCCTGTTTGCCTCTGCGTGTGCAGCTTGTGCCTTAACTTTCTCTGCTCTTGTTCGGCTGACATTCACTGCTTCCTTCTTGTTCCTCCTTTCTTCAATTTTTGCAAGAGTACCAACAGAGATCCATTCCTTGTGATGGTGATTCTAGTGGCCCGGGACCTCCTGACATGTTGAAATGATTGCCTCCCTGATCCCTTATCAATTGTCCTCCAAGGTTTTTCGCTCTACAGTAAGTAGATCCTACCTGTGTCCAATGTTTTTCACTGATTCCAAGCAACTCTAGGTTGTATCTTTTCATTTCTGCAATAACTCAGAATAGTTTTCTAGTCTTTCACAGTGTACGAACGTTCCATGTACCTAAAAGAATGGTTGCCCTGGTTGTGAGAAGATGCATCACCCTCGTGACTTCTGAAGAAACTCGGCTTTCATCACGCGACATCACAATTCTTCTTCCAACTCACAGCGCAGAGTTAAAATGGTTTGATTTATTTTTCTTTTTGGCAAGTTAGTTTTAGTTGGGATGCGGGCGTCAACCCTATGTCCAACCACTCCTCCTTTATCCGGGCTTGGGACCGGCAATAGCCCTGAAGGGACTACAGGCGGAGTTACTTTCCGGCTCGTATGCACTGTATTTACCTTCATAGAAAACTTTATATTCTCAGGGTAGTTTCTGAGCCAAGACGAATGTGAATGAGTGAAACTCATCTTCTAAACCTTACCTATTAAAAGTACATAGGGTACTGCGTCGAAATCTTCCGCTAAGTCAAGGAATATAATATAATCCGATATTTCTCGGTACCCGCAGGCCATCCAGCTTTGCTGGGCTAAAAGAAGATTGGATACGTGTGACTTGCCTTTCTTAAACCCATGTTCAGCTTCATAGAGGATACTAATCTTTTCAATACACTCCTTCATTCGCTCATTCACCAGTGCGTCCATTACCTTCCACAGTATTGGTAGTAATGAGACTGGTTTGCAATAGGCTGGATCCTTCCTATCGTCTTCGTTAAAAATTGGGGAGAGATTCGTTTCTTTGTATCCAAATAGGAGTTGATGGAACTCCAGCGTAATCAGCATGATTTTATCAGGTAAGGCATTTAGGTGCGATGATGTGCTACTGCTTTAAAATGGCTGTCAATATATATATGGCCAGTCCACTTCCTGCTTTATACACCCTGTTGCATCGGACGAGTGTCATGCCTTGCAAGCTTACTTCATCGTCTGCAGTGTGAGGGAATAGCCTTGTTTCTGTTAGTTTTATGATCTTCTAATACTTCTGAGAGCACATATTCCTGATTTCCTCCCATTTACTCCTCAGTCTTCTTAAATTGCATTAGAGGCACCTGATAGTTTGTCTTATCACCTGGTGCACTTCTGCAGCGATGTCTGTCCTCGGGTTTTTAAACATATCGATCAAATCGGGTTGGCAAGTTCTTAGGGGGCTGGAAGTAGCAGGTTTTCGCTCATATAGTGTGTTCAGTAGGCAAGACTGTGATCTTCGCACTTGTTACCGTGGGTTAACGATCCAGGTCAATCAAGATTAGTGTGTGCTTTATCTGGTCTCCCTGTTGTTATCTCATTGATGTAGGTCAGCTCTCACAACACCTAATGTGACTGGAGATATCACTCTCCGTTCTGGGAAACGGGATAATTGGAACAGGAAAATAAGCAAGGAGGAAAGTAACTACGTTAAAATTGAGTGAATACATACTTCGCAAAAACAGAATATGAAACATTGACCAAGATAGTAAGCAACATAGCGTGGATCCAGAGACTTTTTCTTAAACCTTGTGTTTGCAAGCGAATGAATGTTCGTATGCTGCCGATGCAATGCAACATGGGATGATCACGTTTGTCTGATTTTTTACTTCGGCTGTCTACCAATGGACTGAGAAAAATTATGTATCCTCAGGAGTGGTTAAATGCCTCAGGCTGATATCGGAAACTGGACTAATTCCTGTTAGTGGTGTGAGGTTGACGGGGACAAAGGTATTAACGAAAAACAACAGCTATCACAAAACCAGGCTTAAGGGCAATTGTTTGCCATGTGCAAATAGCTGTTGAGGAAAAGACTACTGCTTCTATAACTGAGTAGATAAGCAGGTTCATTAATTGATAACGAAGAGATTGGATGCACAGCCCTTGGTTTGCATAAATTCATGTAAAGCTGTACAGAAAGTTTTGTTTTTATTCATGCATTCTCTCGTTTTTTCACTGAACTGTCTTTCACTTCCTTTGACATTGCTGGCTCTGGTGCAACTTGTTTATTACAGACTGAGTCTTTTCTGTCTCTCCTATTATAGACTGCAGAGAGAGAAGCATGGTTTCATTTCACTGGAGATGTCTATGACTGGTGATTTCCTGTACAGGTCACCCACTGATGGCTTATGCGTACTGTCTCATTATTATGAGACGGATACCGTTACATCCTGATAACAATTACATGTTCGAGGACTTTATTTTTTATCACTAAACAGGTAGTTCAATATTCAGCTGGAACTAAAGTTGACTTGAGTTCCACGTTTGTATATTCCTGGTTTACTTGATCAGTGAAGTTGACATTAAAGACCTCTAAAATCCATGATTAAGTAATATCTTAGCCATTAAGATATTTAAAGGCGAGACGTTCTGGATGATAGTTTTTCTTTCAAAAATGGGTCTGAAGCGAGCATTTTGGTTCTTAGCATGTTCTGGAAATACCTGGCGCCTCAAACTTTAGCATTGCACATGTTTCTCAGTGCGAAGTAACAGAACAAATCCTAATAATTCAGGGGGATTTTACATGTGTACGTGTTTTTCGTTATAACCTATGGCAAACATTTTGTGCCTCCCTTAGCCCTAAATATTTTTTGTGCATGTGATATATTCCGTAGACTGGCATTTACAGTGAAATCCTTCTTTTTATCTTTGTCCGCTAGAACTATGACTATATCTTCTCTGGTTCTGAGTTTCTTTAGAGCTTTTCGTTGTTTAGCAGTTAGTTGGATGTTGTCTCTCTTCCATGGAGTTAGTGGTACTATGGTTTGCCGTATTTCTTGTTGAGTTTCTTCACTTATTCCTGCCGTTTTGAGCGATGACTCTAATTCAGAGAAGAATTCAAGTTTTGAGGCGTCCTTCGTGTTATAGATCAATCCTTTTTGAAGCAGTTGTACTTCTACTGTCCTCAGGTGTTGTTTCGAAAGGTTGACCACGCAACTGTTGGCTTTGAAATCTTGATTAGTTTATCTTTTAGGATGCTTCTTCTTTGTTCTCTGTGTCGTCTGCTTGACATTTCGATCGCCGTCGTCAATGTTGTTAAGTGTTCTGATGAGAGTGTAGCTGTTGGGATGATTGCCAGGTGAAAACTCCCAAACGAATCGAAACCAATAAAAATCGTGTTATAGAATAAGGATATTTATTGATTATAAGTCGCGTGATATCAAAATGGTATCACGTCTACAGCCAGACAGTGAAATAACAAGAAGGATCAGTTCAGCCACAGGATTGAGAAGGTTAGAGTTTGAGTGATGGCTTTTAGTACAGATAAAAAAGGTGTACAATAAAACAGTTATTGTTATACATGTTCTATAAAAAGTATTTGTATGTCAGCAATTATGTTTTCTTCATAAAATAGTTCCACTACAAGACTATTGTATCTAGTGTTTTTTGTTAATCCGTGTTGTGCTGGTATTTGCGGATCCTGTAGGGTGCATCGGTGAGCATAATTTGTACCACTTGTCTTCCACTTTGTTCCACTATTCGCCATTCCATTGGTCAGTTGATTGATTGTCTGTGTCTTACACTTCTTGACAGAACATGCTGACGAAGATATTCGTGGAGAAAGTAGAGCTGTTGTCGAGTGGAAGCCTGCCTTATGGTGAAATTCCCCCATTGTCATCAGACGGGATTAAGACATGAGATCGCGTTTTCTGACAATAAGTTGTAGCACTTATTTTGCGTGTAATATATTTTTTAACATTAACTCAGCCACATCAGATATATAACGCTTGTAACCTTAAGGCAAAATCAAGTCATTTCAGACGTACGCCAAGGAGATTGATTAATTGCAGTCCTAGACATCAATGGGAAGATTCGAACGACTAATACAAATGAATTAAGATTATAGAATGTTTTAAAATGACTATAAAATTTAGGTGCGATCTGAAAGAACACACAAGTCATCATATTCACTATAAAGCGCTTCTTATTTTTTGTAGGTATATTTAGAAGTTAGAGTATTTAGAAATAATCTCATTTTTATTTTCTTTTACATGAATAACGTCAATCACAACAGAAAAATGTGTATTTATTTTTAACTGAAGGATTGCCATTAAGTGCTTAGAATAGTAAGATTGTTTTGGAATCCATTAAATACTTACGTTTTGGCTCTAAACTTACTGTTTTTATTCTTGTCAATCATGTTACTACTCAATATCTGGAATTCACACTAAGTTAACAATCCATCTATAAATTGATCAGATTCAGTAAAATATGTGAATTACTAAATATTTATGAGAAGAATTTATTTTATCTAAAAATATATGAATTTGATTAGCTCTACAACGATTTGTACATTCACATTATTTTCACGTGATTATATCATCAATAATGATGGTTTAAAGTAACCCTCACTTAATTTTAAGATTTGACAGATTTATTCTAATTGGTCAATATGCAATATGAGTTTATTTATTCGTCACCGAATGCCTTTTTCAATAGTGCTCAACGAAATTTCAGTTCTTTTTTTACTGACCTGCGTAATGTATATTTATTCACCTTGCATAAAACTGTGACTAAAATGTTTAGCCTTATTAAGCTAATGGTAAATTTCGTATGTATCTTTTCATTTAAACAATTTTTTGCCAATTTATTATAGTTTATTTTATTAAATGGGTCATTTACACTATCTTCATATCATTTAAAAGACATAACTTTGGAAAAAGTCAAGGATGAAAACATTCGATATCCTGTCATATTAGTGCATGGAATAGGTGGAACACAAGCAATTTGTCGACCAACCAACCAGCAATCGCAAACAAAACCATTCACGATTTGGGCTAAATTGTTCTACTTTTTTCTTCCGGAAAAATTGTTATCTTACTTGGGGTAAGATAAATCTCTACATAATGTATTGTTTTTCTATGAATTAGATTAATTTATGATCCGAAAACAAAACAGGCCAGAGATAGAGGTCTGTGTAATGTTGAGTTTCCTGGCTGGGGTGATACATGGGCTAGTGAATACTTATCCGAAGAAAAATATCTACTCACAAGTTACATGAAAGCTCTTGTGGAAAGTTTGACAGAAGACCGTTTTTTCATACGAAATAAAACGTTACGAGCCGCACCGTATGATTTTCGCAAAGCGCCAAGTATTTTATAAATTAAATGGAAAACAAAGTTTACTGTTTTATTTTAGATGAAAACGCTGCATATTTTATCAAGTTGAAACACCTGGTTGAAGAGACCTATGAAAATGGCGGAAAACGCCCAATTTACTTATTAGGCCACAGTTTAGGGGCATTGTACTCAATGCATTTTTTAAAACAGCAAGATAAAAGATGGAAATACAAATTTATCAAGGGATTCATTTCTGTATCAGCTCCTTTCGGTGGGTCTGTCGAAAGTTTATATGCTGAAACTTGTGGTAAGTCAAGACAATTACCAATAGCATACCTAGGACTGAGAATTTTATTGTTTTGCTGTAACCTTCGTTTGAAGGTAACGAAGTAATAAGTATATGGCCATGTGTACATTGTTGAGTGTGAAGTTTCACATCATGAACTGGACTTATTTACACCGTAATCAAAAACCAAGGGGCGTAGTATGTTAGGATTCAACTCCTGATAAGTAACCATCGATAACCCATCCAGAGCCGTACCCAAAAACTATACGCTTGCTCCCGACCGCTCAACAAATGTCTACTAAAGGAACAGATAATAGTTGCTCAGTGTATTGATTAGAAATGTAAATCATTGGATTTCAACCCACTGGTTTAAAGGTTTAGTTCTCTCAGATTCGCATGAAAGGTTTTGTTTGATTCGACCTCTGATGCGGTCATGCCTGCGCATTGTTTATAAGTCTCATGCTATCACGAAACAGCTACCTATTACTTTTAGGTTTTCAACCACAATGAAGCCAAAGCCAGTTCATTGTGTGAAACTAAAAAAGTACAGGCAAACACTTTTGTGCCCCGTAGGTTTTATGAATTAATGATAGGTTAAAATTTTTTTACAAAGCTTATAGTTGTCTAGTCAATCATCATAAGATTAGCATGATCATTGGTTAAATGTACTAGGTAATATAAAAAAAAAATAGTCTTGTTGTTGCGGAAAGATCAAGATTTCCTCCCCCTAGATCCTGGGCTTCATAGATTTTTTTCACTGATTTATCATTTGCCTTCTCGCTTATTTACTGTAATATATAGTTTTCATAGTCGAGTATGCACTTCATTATTGCTGATCCAGAGTGACAAACTTGACCAGTGTAAATTTGTGCTAGGTTCTTACGAAACTGATTGGAGAATGATAATTTCAATTTGTTCGAATACATAAACCCTGAAGACGATAAAAAACATTCAAACAAATCAAGAAATAAATGGCTGTAATAATATGATATTCTGAGGTATTAGAGAAATTATGAAAGCATAATGGAACCGGTATGTAATTTATCTCTTCAATCTATTTTATACTACGTACTTCGCAATTAAATTAACCTGTCACTCATTTAATAATACAGATCAGTTTTGTAGAATAAAACTACAAACAATTAAAAAGGATAATTTTTAATTGCGTCTCTATTATTATATAGGAATGTGAAACTTTAAAGTGCTTAGCGTGAAGACATTTTTCACTTAGCAACTAACAGTAACCTTGTATTAACAGTACTTAAACTATTTAAGAAAGGACTACTGCTTACAGAGGTGAAAAATCATCATGACTAGTTATTAGTCATATATTTTCATCAACTAGTAATATAAGTGAATAAGCATCGTTTGAAACGATTTATGGTTACGCAACAAATAAACATCACTTACGTAACATAAAATTTACTATATTCATTCACTTCACGAGAAATAATTAAATCCTGAAATCAATCGGATTTATTTCATATTATTTAATCTATTTCTAGGTCATAACTTTGGAATTCCATTTCGTTCTCCATTAGCGTTTCGTGATATTGAACGATCATTTCCTGCTATGGCATTTCTTCTTCCAGATAAACGCATATGGTCAGCAAATGAGAAATTAATTATTACTCCAAGAAAAAATTATTCAGCACATGATATGAAAGTATTTTTTAAAGATATTTCTTTTCCTTTAGGTAAGTAAATCAATATGTCATACGGTAAAAACAACGAATTCAATGTTTCTGATAAATTCTGTAAATGAAAAAAGTTAGTCTTCAATAGGAAAATCGGTATCTGCATCTGAACTACATTGATGAGACAAACAAACTTCAGAAAAGAGCGAATTTTGATCCACTTTAAATTAAATGAACGTTGATGCTTATGCTACTATATATATATATATATATATATATATATATATATATTATTTCAAACAATATATATTTTGAAATCAATAAATATAGAATTTATGCCAATTGACAGGCATAGGCAGCTTGATACAGATAGCAATTATGAATTTAAAGAACAGATATGTTATATCAGTTTGTTTGAATTTTTCTAGTTAGAAAATTGTTCAGGAAATACATTTTTCACATGTATTACCGTGATATAAGGTATCAATCAGGAGCTATTGATTCTTTTTATCTGGACATCCTTTGCTGGTTCCACTGTAGATATAATGCACTGATGACAGCTATTGAACTTATCCAGGATGATGTTGAGGTCAATCCTTATGTCAAAAATAACACAGGTGACATCAGTATGTCTTTTATATAAGTAAATGAATATGTCTCGTAGGAATACTTCCTTAACACAGTGATTTTGGACACTAATATCAAGGATATATATATATATATATATATATATATATATATATATATATATTTTAAAATAATGATCACAGATTTCGTACTAGTTTAAAGCGATGATCAACTCGATAAAGATAGAGATGTTAAATGTGTAGGACATTTATACGATAGTAGATTATTTGAAGTGCTATCATTCAAAAATTGTTTAAGAAGTACCTTTTTCACATGAATTACAGCACTTTCAGTGTAAACCATTATTTCTTTTTGAGTGGAGATACCTCGTTGATGCATGAATAGTGTATTTTAGGTCATCTACAGTCCCAAAACGAAAATGTTATAATCACTCCTAGCTAGATAAAAGAGCGGAAACAGTAAACACAGAACTGTGAAAGCACTGATAACTTCTGTATATATTTCATTTTCAAAGTTCGAGGTTATTATGTGATCTGCTGTTCGCGTAAGATACTATTCAGGTTAGCTAAAGCTACAAGGGGCAATGTTAATGTGAAGCATCTGCAAGAAGGTTCGTTAGTAGACTCAGTAATAAAAACGATCAAATATTAGGAGTTCTCATAATCTGCATACAGCAGAAGAATGTAAACATAAGTAAATGATCTAAGAGAAAGTCTTATAGACATCCATAAGACTGATACCTCAAATGAAAGTACCCTAGTCCTAGGATCTTACCAAAATATGTAGTGGGTTCCAGTTAGCATGTTTAGAATCCCTATTTTACGAGGGACAGACTGAGGAGCATCCCTTAGTTAATTATGAAAGGCAATTACATATATATATAGACTGACGAAATTAGTCTTTCTGTCAAATGTTATCCTTTAATAATTCATTTCTAGAGAAGTGAAACAAAATGTAGCCCCTTTTCTCGACAGTATATTAAAATTTTCAGAAGTTTGTAAATTTAGTCTTTACTAAATCACCGTTTGACTGTTTTATGATACGAAAACTAAACCGATAACTCATGTAGAAGCAAGTAAATATATTGATTTAAGATATAAATAAAATGGTATTGAGTATACTGAAGCATCTAAATGTCGTGTAACTAGTTTTCTGGTTTTAAACTTAACTATGAAGGAAGGATTGATTGCATAAAATCTTTTCTTCCGTCAGTATAATGCTCATTTATTGAATTTTTCCAAAAGTATTGTGGTTTAGGACTGGTTTTTATGCGTAACTATTAACAGTTTTAAAGCTTTCTACAATAACATATAAACGCTCATGAAGAAATAACAATATTTATAAAATTTACGATGCGTGATATTCAACATTTTGTTAGAATATTATTCATCGGTTCACTTGAAATGATCAATCCGTTTTTTTGTGAGATTTTCCTTTAACTCTTACTTTATTTGTAGTTACATTTACTATTTATAATCATTTGCAAATTTAAATATTATTTCTTTGAAGCTACACCTCACTTTTGACTGTTGGCTAAGTCATGAGCGTGATCTGTTGACTAGTTTCCTACTGAACTTTGGTAGTTTTCTAGTTACTTTCAGTCTATGTAAAAAGCTCTTTAAATCTTAATCAGGTTATTCATAATATAAAGTATTCATTTTACAAGTTATCTCTGTAAATACGTGTAATTACAAGTATGGTTTGTTTTATAAAATCTGTATAATAACGTGACTAATTCAAATTATTCTATCCGGACTTTTATATTTATTTATACAACCAATTTTTGACTTAGGTTATTCAATGATGGAAGAAACTAAACGTGCATTTGATCCGTTCGAAAGGCCTACAGATACTGAAGTTTACTGTGTTTATAGTTATAATGTGCCAACAATATCACAGATGATTTTCAAACCTCCAGGACCATATCGTTCTGCTTTTCCTAACCAAATACCGAGATTAAAATATGGCGACGGTGATGGTGTTGTATCGTTACAAAGTTTATCTGTCTGTAATAAATGGGACCATGTTAACCTAGTTATCTTGGATCAAAGTCAACATGAAGATATTGTGCAAGACGATCGTTTTATTCAGTACCTAAAGAAGTTAATTATCATTGATTGACTAAACAAAATAAAGTTTGTTCGACAAAATAAGTTTCCTAATGAGGGTTTGAAATACATTCCTGTAATACCGCTTCTTTTTTACTAATTCTTGTTTACTTATTTTTACTACTATGACTGAGCATTCAAATTAACTGTCGTACAGAATCTTATCCAGTCGGATGATAAAGTGTTTATACAGTGCAGATGTTCCAGTTGAGGTTGACTATGAACACGTCTACCAACCAATCACGTTCGGGTCTTAGGCTTTATCTTGTCGCGAATTAATAACAGGGAAGAATGGATAGTCCAGATGAATAAATATATTTGCTGGCGATTTTGTGGTATCGAAAGAATACCGGAACCGTGCTAGAGAAAACGAGTGAAAGGCACAGAGCAACAAGAGCAAGATAGTGACCGCACAAAAGTAAAGTGTAGTACAGAAGTACGAACAAACAAAATGTTCTGTAAAGCGTCCACTAGTACAATAGGTTATGATAATGAATGTTTCTATTTAATCAATCTTGTTTTCTTTGTAAAAGTGAATTTGCTACAATAGTATGAGCAATATGTTTCTCCAAACTCTTAACTATGTGAATGATATAAAGTTACAATATTTGTATGGTATAAATATATTTATCGATTTGTCAACAACTCAGATGAACTCTTTAATATGGGATCTATTCTCTATTTAATGTACTGAAATTTAATCAATCCGGTTGGCTCCAAAACAACTGAAATTCTACTTTATTGCTTTTCAAAGTATTGATACGTTCAAAGTTTATTGTTTCCATACTGTCGTACTTCAATTCAGTAAATGAAAAAATAAAAAGAATTAAACTGTTCTGTGAATGAAACTGTGTAATAATTGGTAAACTGAATATACTGATATCATAAAGATACGCTAAACCACCACAAGGTTATGAACCATTGCGACAGGAATAGATTTTTCATCCGAAAGATTAAAATTGCAGCCCAACACACTTTCGAACACACGGTGTACAACCAAACCAACCAAATGAACATGAGAAAAAAGTTGCCGAATGTGGTTCGTGGAAGTTCCGAAGTATAAAACATTTTATTACGAAACTCATAATACACTCACCTAGTACATATAAGACCAAGTACATATGGCAATAAAGCTAAACTGAGTTCCGTATATACAAGTCTAAAGTTAGTGTACAGAACATTCAATTTATTATAATTTAGGTAGAAGAAACCAAGATTGACAATCCCTACTGGCTTATTTATATATTATAGGTTTCAAAATTTGGTCGGCATCAAATTTTTTGGATCGCATTACGTTTAAGGTGTATTCACTCAAATGCTCGTCATTCCTTACGTTTGATTACTATGTCCCAATGAACCATCAGATTTTATGTGTTGCTGCGTCGTATAAACTGGTTGTTTAACATAAGCTTATTGTAAGTTGAAATAAATATACACCTTCACGGGATTACTAAGTTAAATACCGATAAATCCAGAAGCCAGAGAAAAGACTGTTCTGGAAGAAGAAGTATATTTATGGCTGACCTTTTGATATCGAAGTAATATCATGACCAGAAAACAGGAGCGGCTAACAACCACCGAGGAGAGAGGCGGAATTGGAAAGATACGCTTGGCTCACGAGAGAGTCTTTTGTCCAGATAAACAAAAGGAGTACAGCACAAAAATTATTGCCAGAATTAAGTAAAATAATAAATGCTTCCGTTTCAGCAATTGTGTTCTCTTCGTAAAAGTATACCACTACAAGCTTAACAATCGAATCTACCTAATTTAAGCGGGCCTCATACCCGTAAGTTATCTAATACATGTCAATACATGTCACGAATACGTCCTTGTTAATTTTAGATTTACCAGCACTCACTTCTAAAACTCCCAGTGTAGTGATATTCATTTTCTTAACGCACATTCTGTCACACATTCGTGATTAAGTTTTTTTGAAACAGTAATAATCAGGATTGAACATCATTTCAAAATACATCACTATGCAATATATTACAAATATTATAACTTTATATCATTCACATAGTTAAGAGTTTGGAGAAACATATTGCTCATACTATTGTAGCAAATTCACTTTTACAAAGAAAACAAGATTGATTAAATAGAAACATTCATTATCATAACCTATTGTACTAGTGGACGCTTTACAGAACATTTTGTTTGTTCGTACTTCTGTACTACACTTTACTTTTGTGCGGTCACTATCTTGCTCTTGTTGCTCTGTGCCTTTCACTCGTTTTCTCTAGCACGGTTCCGGTATTCTTTCGATACCACAAAATCGCCAGCAAATATATTTATTCATCTGGACTATCCATTCTTTCCTGTTATTAATTCGCGACAAGATAAAGCCTAAGACCCGAACGTGATTGGTTGGTAGACGTGTTCATAGTCAACCTCAACTGGAACATATGCACCGTATAAACACCCTACCAACAGCCATCTACGCAAAATGCTTCGGATACGTTAGCTAGATATGACTTGGATAAGGCTCCTATGCTCGGGATCCTGATCCTCTTCTGGACTCGGACCTCGTAATTTCTGGATGTTTTTGTAGAATACACATTCTACTTCATAAAAAATCTAATTATTTGGGCTTTGGGATTCTCGGATTAGAGTAGTCTGTCATATCACCGGATCATCGATCCTCGCTCTCGTTTACTGAATAAGGTAGACTCATAATAGTTCAAGCATATCAAATGACGTTGGTCACGTGCATGCGTAACAGGATCTTGCTTTGAACTTTGTACATTCAGATTCGCCTTTGCTGAGGCTGCTTCCACACTGGTCATATTTTCCTGCAATTGTTGATGCGCGTGCGACAAAAGAGTCAGATCCTTTGCGAGGTCTAGATCGTCCAGCCGCATTCAAGGTTTTCGGTGATTACCATTTTCACTAAAGATGTTGACATTTTTCGAAATGCACCCGATCATCAGGAGAAAAAGAAAGGGTGGGAATAAGCAACTTGACTGACACCGGCCTTTACATCAAACGAGTCAGTCAGCTGTCCTCCGTGCATGAGTTCTCAGAACAATCCATCATAAGAATTTCGCATTATGCTGACTGTCTTCTCAGGAACGCTGTAGTTTCTAAGGTGTCTCCGTAGTGTTTTACTGTCCACGATGTCGAATGCTTTCTTGTAGTCAATGATGTCGATATGGTGTGGTGATAGTTCGACAACGATCCGTAGTGTAGCAACTTGGTCGGTACATAATCCTTAAGGAATCCAACCTGCTGATCTTTAGGTCAGGCGTCTATTAAGTCATTCATTCAGTTTCACAACACTCCATTTAGGAATCTCCTCGGTGTTGCGAGAATAGTGGTGTCCCTGTAGTTCTTACACTTGTTGAGATAAGCTTTTTTTGAGTATCTTGATCTTTTGTCCTTACTTCCAATCTATTGGTACTTGTTCTTTTCCCAAGTCTCACTGAAGAAAACTTGCAGCATCTTTGCAATTACTACTACGTCTGCTTTCAGTGCCTCTGCTGGAATGGTGCCTATTCCCGCTACTTCGCTTCTCTTGATTTGTCTGATGTCCATACTGATATCTCCAATTTTTTGTGGGCCAACATTGATTGGGAGGTCACTGGATGTTGATTCGATGTCCAGTGGGTTCAGTGGAGCTGATCGATTCAAGAAATACTTAAAGTGCTCTACCCATCTGTTTCTCCGTTCAGTGTTATTGATTACTCTGTTTTTTTGCTTTTTAATGGTCGTTCTGGTTCACTATGTCTTCTAACGAGCTTCTTTGTTGTATCGTACTATCGTCTCAAGTTCCCTTCTCTTGCAGCTTTTTCCACTGTCATTGCTAGGTCTTCCACATACTTACGTTTGTCGACTAAGATGCTCTTCTTCACTTGCGTGAATGCTTCTGTTTATTCAGCTTTTGCCTTGACTTTCTCATCTCTTGTTCGAACTATGTTGATTACTGTTTTCTTGTTCCTCTGGAATCTCATCTAGAGTTTAAGCAGAGATCCTTTCCTTGTGACGGTACTTCCTGTGGCCCAGAACCTCCTGACATGAAGCGATTGCCTCTTTGATCACATTCCAGTTGTTCTACATCGTTGTTTCCTCTCCATTGAGTGGATCCTGTGAAGTCTGGAACCTATTGCTGAGGGTCATCTTGAATTCGTTGAGTTTGTTAGTGTCTCGCATTAATATTTTGTGATGTTGTCCTCCCCGTTGTCCAGTGTTGCTTGAGTGTGGGTTTCATTTTGGTGATCAGCAAATAATGATGATCTCCGAAATTGCTCGAACATTCCATATACATTTATGGTTTATATGCTATCTAGAACGGACATCAGCATCATCAACTCTGACAGAACTAGGCTTTCATCATGAGACCTTCTGACTCTTCTAAATGAGGACCTTCTAACTGCCCTGGCAGAGTTTAAACAATTTTAATTATTTTTTCTGCTTAGCATTTTTTAGAGAGTTACTTTTCTGATAGACGGGGTCTCCAACCCTAACTACCCTCCTTTATCCGCGCATGGGACCGCCTGTAGCAGCAGGGAGTCTACAGTCGAAGTTTCACTAAGTATATATTAAAGCAAACTACTTGTGCATAAAACAAGAAATGACTCCTAATAACTTGCTTGAAATGGTACTAATATATAATGAACGGTCTAAACTGACAATAATCGTCTGTTCACTAGTGATTAACTTAAGGCGAATTCTAAAGTGCTAGTGAATGCTTTTCCTGATCAGAATTCATACGAGTTTGATATGTGGTCTGTTGATCTACAAATTTATGGAATAAGTGAGTAATATACTCTAAAAATTGTTCTGAGGTTGAAAACAGTATTTTTTTAGGAAATAGCATCTGAACGATATTACGTATATTGCAAATCAGAGATAGAGAATGAGTGCTTCATTGTAATGCTCATAGAAATAACTTCAATCGACAGCGCCTCTGAATTAAGTTCTTTTTCGGTTAATAAATGGTATAGGTCGTTCATATAGTAGGTAATAATTACAATTTAAATCTTGTTTAAACAATGAGCGATGCTGTGATCTTCGATTTTTTCCTACTCATTTTCGTTTTAATACATGAAATGTCTTTGAACTTTTCATGCAAAAGGCGCTTATTTTGCTGTTATGACATTTTATCACTGTGACCAGGTTTACGATGACATCTTGTATCCAACAGTGAACGCTGTCTTACCGGGAAAGGTCGTTAAGGATCTTTCAGGTTTTAATGGTTGAGTCTCAACTAATGTCATCACAACCTTCTTCATAAAGTGCTGAAGTCTCTGGATAATCTATTACGACATCATAATTTTCTTCATATAGTAAAAAGGTTTGTAAACTGCTGCTTTGCAAATAATGGTTATGCCACCGTCTGCTTGTGAACCATTTAATATCTACGGTATTGAACCTGGACTGGTAAAACAAGTTAGGGAGAAGTTTCAAAGCGAAATTTCAATGAACGAACTGTCCAAAAACATACACTCAGGAATTAAACATCATTCAGCGACAGCTCGTCTAACGTGCGCCTATGAAAACCTTATGAACAATTGTAGTGGGATTCAGAGACACAATACTTATCCTAACAGAAGAATTCAATCTGTCGGAAGACTTTCTAACCTACCTCCTCAGGAGGTAAGCAGACAGCCTATGACCAAAACGTCTTTGGATACTGTCAAGACGAACAAAGCAAGTACGTTACCTCAAGTTCGGTTAGAAAAGGTGGCCAAATGTTCTTCATCTGCACACCCTAACGAGTTTAGACCACAAACTGCAATATGTGGGCATCAGTGTGAGAACTTTAGTAGATATCATACTGTATCATCAAATACATCAAGTCTTGAGCAAAACAGAAGCCATTTTAAAGAATATGATTTCTTTAAGCCTGATACGAACGAAAATAAACCAAAGGAATCAGAAAGAAGTTTAGTTACAAAATTTCGCGCACGAATAGACTTTAAACAACCAGCGTTACTACCCAAGCCGACAAAAAGTGAGTTAAACAAGGATCCTTTGATTAATTTTATGGTGCCTCGAGGCTTTCGAGGAGGCACACAATCAAGCCAATATGCATATAATACTAACGAACACTTACTTACTCAAAAGTCAGAAAATCTCTCAAGTGAAAACTTAAAAACCGGTAACCATCAAAGTGGATATTCACTGCCCAATAACCAAGTGTGTAACGATAAGTCAAGCCAAAAGAATACGGTTAATAAAACGAGTGCAGGAAAACATCTGAATACGAATTCTCTTATGGAAGCCAGTGACCGTAATACTAACCATGCAACAATGAAACTAACAAATACATCAAAACTTTATTCATCCTTAATGGTGCGGAGAAAGGATGGCATTGGTGATAATACTGAAATTCCTTCGGCGTTTAACAAACCTAATAAGGTTTCAGAAAGTATAGTTAGTAAAAGAGGCACTACGAGTAATACAGCTCAATCTGTTACAGAACCTGCTACTCATAATCCGGTTCGTCACTACTCCCACAACGTTAATGAAAAATCCAGTAACACAGCTCGACCGACAGGTATCACTGAGTCAACAACTACTAACTCTGTATCTTTGTCTTCTCCATCGACTATCCCTTCTTCTTTACAATTGTCGTCCAATAATCAGCCTGAATCTGACCCTCCTAAGTTAAAAAATAAACTATCCCCAGGTAAAAATGGAACCTATAGCAAAGTAACAAATAATGCACTTTCTCATAAAAAGCTAGAAGAAAAAAATCAAAACTCAAATGATAAGAAAGAAGGAGAAATATTTACGGCTATTAAAACGATACAACATAAAAGTGTAGTCAATACGGAAGAAAGTGATCCTGCTTTGTATAACAGTAAATTTAATTTTACTAATACCACTGCTACTACACAATTACCCCCCAAAGGTTCTGAGTTACCAGGAAATAAATCTCCCAAGAGAATGAATACCTTGCCCATAGGTATAAATGAGTCAACTAGAATGACAGTGACTGACATAAACTCTGCTGATGTATCAAAACACAAACTAACTGGACCATCGGAGAACACAGCAGTTAGTCAATTTCATACAGAGAAAACCTATTCAAGTGAAAGTAAACCGCTTCATAAGCCAAATGAAAAAAAGGATAATTTACCTTACCATAAGCGACAGGTGAACTATTCTATTTTGGACAGTGTTATGGGTGAAATGGAGCAATTATTCGCAGGAAAACAAACAAATACACCGAGTAAATTGTCAAGGATACATAGTTTTGCTAGGGAAAAGGCTATGCAGTGTAGAGAAGAAAATAGTGATAACGAAGATAATCCCACAAATGCAAGTAAACTTTTGAAGCCTCCAGATGTAAACGACGTGAATAAAACACTCACGCCTCATGATTTAGACAGCTGCAAAGATATGAAAACTAGTTCTTCCGTCCCACAGCACAAGAATGGAAGACAGTCTGAGCGCTTTCAAGCAGCACTTCAAGCAGTCGAAAAAAATTTTAGGCCAATTCCTGTGACTGAAGATGTTAAGAGTCCTAAACCAAGTAAAGTAGATGGTGATATCATTGGAAATCATATCAAAAATGTTTGTCCGTCAATCGAAAAATGTTCAGCTGATTTATGCAATGTAAGTTGGCTTTTTAATTTAAAAATGACATCAGATTTAGTAACTTGAAAAGTCAGTCATGGTTTTTGTTGTTCCAAAGGTACATAGTCAAATAATTTATGCGACACAATCTAGTAAGAAACAGAATTTCGTAAAATCATAAGCCAAACAATATTTTGAAATAAGTATAACATGAAACTGTTATATGATAATATGTCACATCGATTAGACAAGAGCAATTACTCCATCAAAAGTTAAGACTATGATACTAAACTTCCAGAAGCATTGCAAAAATATCTTGTGTATAGTGTAAGTTTACCTTAGATAATAACTTTTCTTCAAATATGTGAATAAAAGCTGGTTTGAACTATGCTCAAAACATACACTGTAGAAGAGAAAGGTATCGGCTTTGCTTTAGTTTATATTCCATCTGATTGCTTAAACCCGTAGAGTAGACGAATTTCGTCGATAGAAAATATTACTTTTTGACACAAACTGAACTTAGTAGGCCTCACCAGAGTATTGATTTCTAAAGGTTTAAAATCTATTTTACTTATCAGTGTTGTAAAAGACCCTAGTTAATTAAAAGAAAACCATTTTAAGACCTATTTCAGATAGATCGCTGATAATAGGTGTTTATATTTCTTTTAGTCATCATTTTATAAATGGTACTTTGAGCATATTTCCGCTGTCTCTGTATTCAGACATCATATTCTTAGGTCCAGAAAATATTAGATTACTGGTTCGTTGATGTTACAAAAGTACATGTCATTCTTTATTTAATTTCACTTGTTATGGTTGGTATTGCTCTAATTATCAAGGTTTAGTTTCACTACATTTTGAGATCGAATCGACTCTTCCTGTGTTATGTGGTTCGTTATTATTTAACTGTTTTCAAAGAAAATAGGATATTTTATGATGTTTAATTGAATCGAATGAGCTTAAAATCTTTGTTTTTAATTATAAAGTGAATACCAGGAGTCAGTGACGTACTTAAGCATCTAAATTTGTTGTACGATGTTTTCCAATTTTCATCCCCTCAGTTTACTGCTTATCATTGTGTTCTCAACGCTAAACTGACAGTATCAGGCCTAATGAGAGGATGTTAATGTTCGGTTATTGTTTGAATTTCGAAAAACGTCCAATGTTCTGGAAGTCCATAATTTCCACTTAAACACCATCTTGATATCATAATAAGTAACGTGGTTAGGGTAACGAAACAATATGTAATGATATTTCTTACGGCTGCTCGTTTGGTATTCAGAGACAATCTAGTGCTTTAGATCCTAAGTAAAGCTTTTTAATACTTATCCTGTAATTTACGTGGATTACAGGCCAAATACTAGTTAATATTGTGAAATGAGTTCATAAAACTAAGAAATGTTATGTATTTAATCGTCTCCGTTAGTTATCCGAATCTTTCTAATGATTTTTAGGACTGCAGTTTTTCAGCCTCTTTTAGAATACTTACATCTTGTGCGGATTGTCTTGATGTGGTCATCAGATCATAAACATTAAGCACAGAGGTGGATGATGATAACAGTGGACGGATGTTCCGTTCTGTTTTTTACTCAGCTGGGTCTTGCATCCCACAGTTGATGTTCAGTCCAGGATACAAACCCAATACTGTTTTCTTTATACGCCATCACATTATCCATTCAGCTACCGATTTCAGACCGATACTGGCTCATGCAACGGGGTTACGTTTAACTCAGTTGTAATAGTTGTTTGAACTTGCCCACTGTTGTTTAGTATTACGATTCATCAGGTCTCTTTTAAACTCGTAAAATAATGATACCATTTACTGATTGACTTCTCAGATCATCAAATCCAGGTGGAATTACAATAATATTTTGGGACTTGTTACTTCAGTCCCATAAAACGCAGTTTTTAGGAGATCTGAATGTTTTATTAAGTAGGATATTTACATATGAGGTAGGCAGTTGGGTTGTTTATCTTTGAAATATAAAGTAACTACTAAATTACCATATTCCCAATGTCTACCCTTAATTGATATATGTAGTTAACAAAGTTATTCACCTTTTTTACGTTGGTGGTTTATGAAATTTTTTAAGAAAATCAGTTTAAATGTTTTCAACAAAATCAAGTTCATTCTAAAATTTTCCAAAACTTACGTGAATATAAATTTCCATCCCCATGTTTTTTTTGAGAAAAATATGACATTTTTGTTCAAGCAATAGTGAACTAGTGTACACACCAGCTAGATCATAATTTGTTTGTGACTATGTTAAATAAAAAATGAATGTCGCATTCTTATTTTAAGTGTAAGAAACTAGATAACCAAAAGAAGCTTCAAATCTATCCAAATAAAAGGCATTCCTGAATGAAATTCGCTGGTTTTTGACGTTGAGTTTGATACAGCAAAGCGTGAAAACAAGATGTGATAATTTTTCGGTGATCGACAAGCCATGTTTCTGAAATATGTAGCATATCTCCGCGATTGGAATTTATAGTTTGTGCTCCGAATTTCGCCTAGCAAATAACTTCTAAGATACCGGAGATTTTTACGAAAGTTCTTCATCACAATAAAGTTTTAGTGTAGGTACTTGATCTTGGTAGAAAACACTAGATAGGATGTATTCAAGTCAAGAAATACCTGTCGGGAAGACACCCGCTAAGTTGTTACCTAAGAATTTCAGTAACATTGAATATTTTTGCACCATTTTGCTGCGAAAAGCTTGATAGTGAACTTAATCACATACACATCTACGACTCTCTTGTAAAGCAACTAAATTTTTGTAGTCGCAAAGAGAAGTTTGCTTCTAACGTTCCTTGAAGCAAACTGTAAGTATGTGTAATATGCCTTCATTACATCCACTTCTATGGAACTTAATAATGAATATGAATTTTAATGCTCAAAACGTAATTTTTGCACAGCATATACACTGAGTTTCTATTATGTTTATTTTTTTTCTTGGTAAGGAACACATGTTTGTAAATTCGGTTTCAAATTATTAACATAGTTTCTCTTTCATTTTTGCTTTTAGTTGTATGAAAGGTTTGAAAAAAATAGATAGTACGTAGTATATGATTTTCAACCTTAGTATTCAACTTATCAATAAAAGTTAAGATGCCATTATTTCAAAGTTGAACATCAATCCCTTTTTAATTTATGTTTTGATCTGGAATCATTTCTTAACAAAACCTTATTTGCTATAAAAGTACAACTTCGGAAATACTAGAAATTAAAAATTAGATTACCACTGTGCTGTTGAACAAAGTTTTTTCTAAATACTCACTATAAATCAACAAAAGTTTTAATGGATTTTGTTTCAGTCAATATTGTTCCTGATCATTTACACATTTGCTAGAGTAAAAGCAAAATCCAGATACCCACGATAATAAATGTTACATGAAGTATATGATGTTTCTTAAGAGATATCCAAAACTGGTTGCACAATATTCCGCCTGAAGGTTTTAGGTAATTTATAATACATTTTCCAAACAATCATTCTTAAATATAAGGTATCGTTGAAAAAATTCATATTTACAAGGACGATTGAATAGCACAAAAATTCGTCAGAAAAGAGATGAGTTAGCAATAGTGGAGGTTTACGAATATGATAAACTGGAAAAATAATAAATGTCCTAAGATATACTAGATGATGTAATACACTAGTCTTTATTGCATCTTGTCAGTGAACAGGGTAAGAAGTAAACAAATAAAATATATTGACAGGAATATACCCTTGGTTGTCCCTTCTTAACATCTTTAAATATTGTTACAAAACATGTTGAATAGAGTTATGTTAACACATCGTAGAGGCAAGATGCTTCGAAAGTTTCGCTGCATAAACTTATCGGTAACATAGTTAAACCATTATTATCCTCAGAATCTTAAACTGATACATATGGGAAACAAGTCATTCTCTGGGAAAAAGCTATTAACACTTGTAGTGACGGACATTTTTCTTACCTAATGTGTCGATAAATATGTTCTTCATTTTTATTCTGCGGATTGCTGATAGACAATTTATATTTTTACACGGTTAGAATTTTCCAAGGCAGCAATAGTCAAACTAAAAAAATTCATTTTTAACCGATTAAAACAATACTAATAGTTTGAAGAATATGTTTATTGGAACAAAGTTTACCATAATTAAACAGTAAATGATAATAACACGCACGAAGCATAATTTTTTTCAATAAACACTTTTGCTTTATATATTTTTGATCTAACCTCAACAGATATTATACGTTTCCGTTAAAATTACATTATTATTTCTGTCTCAGAATGTATTTACCGTATTTTTGCTTAGCCTACAATATACAAGTACGGTAACCACTAACTATCAATATTGTGGCATTAAATTTTAACTGACCTGTGACATATTTTAAAGACGTCCGGATTTTTTGTACCAATAAATTGGTAAATCGCCATGTCATTTATCTTTAAAGGATTAAAAGAAACACCACTTAAGGATTTCATGAGTTGATTTCTGGAAGCAGACTGGCCATTTGACATAAATCAAAATAATAATTTTTTCGTTAAGTTATTTGATGCTCAACTATGATCAATAAAGCAGGTTTTTAATGGAACGATTCAACAGAGAAATTTTTTTTATCAAAATGTCAGCTAAGATATGAAAATGAATAATATGTTGTCTTGTAGCAAATGCAGATTTCTAGTAACTGTTTATTAGGTGATAGATTATACTAATTTAATGTAGATAATTCGACAGCAAAAGAAAGTGTCATGGGTTTGTAACTTTTTAAACGGTTCGTAAGTGAAAACCGAAAAAATGTGAGTTGAAAAACTCAACTAACTTTTAAAATCTGACTGCAAGTTTACTTGTTTGGATAAACACAGTGATGATTATGGTATTGCTTAAAATCTGTCCCAATAAGTTTCTGTGTCAGCAACCATAAATCCAATCTCGATAGTAGGAAAGATTTAAAATAAACTTTTAGTAATTACATACATGTGATGCAAAAAATCTTTATTTAATTATTTCCTTTAAATACAAATAAAAACTAAATGATTGAATGGCAAATCAACATTATAAACAAATGTATTGAAAACAAATACCTTTTACTTTCCTATGGAAGAATCCTATTCAAAACGATGTAACTAGCATCACAAGTGTTTTATTGAGAATGTTTTCCCAACCAACTCCAACGACTTTGTCATCACCTGTAGCATTTAGTGAAGGTAATAATATTTTGGATTCACTCGCGTTAACAAACATAACCAAAGTTAGTGTATCACCACAATCCCTTCAATTGAACAATGAACATTCATTGGACTGTCAATTAGATAAGAATACGCCGCTATGTAATCTCAAATCAGACCAAAAGAATTCCGAACTAACTGTACTCAGTAATAAACGTGAAAATCATGTAACATTTTTAAGTCCGGAGTATAATACAACGTATGATTTACCAAATCAACTGCAAGGCGTCACTTGTGAAAAAAGTATTCATGAGGTAGGTTTACATGAAAATACAAACGAAACTGAGTTTTCTAACCACCATCAACATGAGAAAGGCAGTTCAGTATCTCATTTTAATTTTAGTTCAGATATAAAAAGCAATCCAGATCAAATCAATAACAAGGATAACATCTCTGTAAATTATCTAGTTAAAAACAACTTGTACAATCAAAACGGTTTACATGTTGAACTAAGTGACAGGTATGATACACCAAACTTTTGTCAGAATAATGATCAACATTCAACTTACAATGAAAATAAAGCAAAACTAAGGGTCCAGTTAGAGAGAATTTTCAACAAAGTAACTGAAAAACGTTCAGAAACTACATTAATGAGAGAAGCTATTGTTACAACCACTGCTAATTGTAAAAACTCTCAAGATAATAAGCAGAAGAGATATTTTGGGAACTATCCTGTTTCTAATGCTTCATCTCATGAGAAGCCGATTATGAAAAATCTCAATGTTACTCAGGACAAATCCAACTACAACAAAAGTGAAAAGTTAAGAATATTACCTATGCATATTACCAAAGTTGTTAATGAATTAAGAGAACTTCTATGTGGAACCTGGCCATTAAAATCAAGTCGCATGTTAGATGTGCAAAAATTTGCATGCCAGAAGGGTTTGCAATATAGACAAGAACATAATCAGCTAACAGTTCAAGAAAGTCAGTCGAGCCAAGTTTCATTCTCAAGTAAAGAGAATTCCGAATTTAAAAAGAAGAAAACGTCATCTGTTTCATTCGAAAATTTAATCCAAAATCTAAGCAGTCCATTGTCTACAGAACTAGGAAACTCAAAGTTTTCCTCAACAATAGGTATTAATTCTGAAGACGATCTATGCTTTGAGAACATAAAAAGGTCTGTTGAAAAACAGTTAAATAACATTTTGAGGAAACAAAGGGATATATATGGCACAAGGTCGCTTTCAGCCTCATCATCACCTGTAAAATTTCTAGATAGAAATCTGTATTTCAATAAAATCGATTTTTCAGAATGTCATCCAACAAATAAGTTTGTATCAAATTACGAAAGTGGCTCTTTCTTTGGTAAAGCCGATAAAAAACACAGTGATAAAAGTAAACCCAAGAATAACGTTGTAATCAATTCGTCACATACATTAAAAAATAAGTCAAATAAATATGCATGTCAAGTTAATAATTATAGTCCAGATAGGACTTCTTGTTTAGGGTTATTAGGCTTATGTAGTCAGTTAAACAACATATCTAACCATTTCACCTCACATTCGCCTCGAATACAAAGCATTTCAAGAAAAAAACTGTTGGAAAATGTTTCTATATCCCCCACTAATGCAGCAGAAAATATGAATTATTCTACGCCTGAAATCCATTCTCCTTTACCTAGTCAAAACTTCTTAAGGTTAACAAATAGTCAGTGGGATTGTTCAAAAAGGCTATTGGACTTTTCATTTGATAAAGATGTTAAAGGTTGCACTGATCGTCACTCAAACCCACTAAACCATAATATCAAATGTATTGCTAATAATCCAGAAAGGTATTTTTACAGTGATTGTTCATCTTCGTGTTTCGATTATATCTACGTCCCTGGAAATAATTCACGACTGAAGTTCAGGGAAAAAAGAAGACGAGGGGCAGTCATCAAATTAAGGCGGTCTAAGAAAGTTTTGTCTGATACATATTCAAATAATTCCAGTTCCTTAAAAGAAAAATACGTTCAAATCAACCCAAATGAATGTAATCAGATATCGAATTTTATACTACCAAGATTTTCTAGAGAATCCGATCTGAAAAATAATAGTTTAATTCCTGCCAATTTGCGAAATGTTTATGATGAACGACTTTTCCATCCATCTGAAGGAAACCCTATTTCAAGTAGATTAGACTCTGAATTTATCAACAACAAGATATGATCAAAGAAGATGGATAACTATAAAACAAATATATTTGAAAAGTAAATAATGTGAGTTTTGCTTGTTTATTGAATATATATGTAAAATAGTTACATACTATTCACTTAAATACGTGGACAAAATGTAACATTAATAATATAATCAATCATTTAATTATATCAAACTTCAGATTTAATCATTTCAAGATTTACTGGGTGGATTATGCAACTTTTTAGTCAATCTGAATACACCATAATTTTTTTTGAATAAGTGAAGTGAAATTTGCTTAAAAAACATAAAAAAGAAACTAGTAAGTTTTGATATATCTGTTAGACGCAATTTAAAGGATAAAATGAACCATGTTGAGTTAGTGATTCACGTCAAGAAAAGCTGTGTTACATAGTTATATGTGTGGTAAACTGGATTATAAGTAACTAAATGTCTACTGTTTTAAGCGAATAGCGCTATATTAAGGTAAAATGTCCACTTAATGACACAAGTGATGACGGAAAATTCTGGCAACAATAATATGATCTAACAGATAGTTTATCCTGTAATGTAGCTTTAAAATTAGAAATCTTTCAAAAATTAGACAGTATAAGTCAAGATAATGATTTATCTATCTATAAAACAAGTACTTGAATAAATGGACCAGTTCATCTAAGCCGCTAATTAGTTGGCCATAATTTAATACACACCATTCTAATGAATCACTGAAATTCACTGAGTTTGAGAGAATATTTTAAATATATACTAAAATTAATCGGTTTAATTACTCGCTCCATACAGTGAAGTTATATAATCTTCTTACTTATCAGCAGTAGTTTTGTAATCATATGATAATGCCTTATCTTGAACATCTGTTTTATGAAACAAATCAAATTGCTTTTAGTTCACTTTCCTTTTAGGATTACAATACTTTTTGAACATATTTATTCACTGTTATTTTCTAGTTGCATTTCAACTAAAATATGACATAAGATTTACTCTTAGTATATTTATTTAAATAGATATTCGGGGATATATAGCATCAGTATATCTGATTCCCATTCCATTTCTTAACAGTGAAAACCTTAGAACTGTTAAGATACTATCCCAAATTTGCTTACTTTTTTAAACATAATTATTGTTAAAATTAGTAATCTGTCAATAATTGGCTGAATTTCTAAATTTGAATATCACGATTATTATTCAGACATTATATCTGGATTGGATAGAAGGAAACTGCACATACGTCAAGGGAAAATTGAGTGGACATTATTTGAAACAATGGAGAACATTTTACAATCTGAGATATTTTCTTTCATAAGACTGTAACAGATATGATAAAGTTACAAGTAAAATAAATTTTTACCAAGTAATGAACTAAGATTAGACTTAAAATTACGCTTTTGGGCTGTTTACTATTAACGAGTTACTTGAAAACTCATATTTAAAATAATCTATATTTTTGTATAAAGTTTCTTATTTAGGACTATATGAAACCAACTAACCAACTAACTTGAAATGATTTGAAATATAGCCTTATAATCATTTTTGGGAGAATGAAAAACAGTTAGATTTCATCATTATCACGTTATGTGTCGGAATAGCCATATACATCTTTGTTCAACAAACTAGATTCTTTCCTAAGTTAGTTGAGTCATTTTGCAAGTGAAAATATAATAACCTTGATCCAGAAGAATCTGAATATTTAATAAAGCAAAAGAATTAGTATTTGAAACTTTCCCCCATCAAAATGTTCGGGGCTAACAAAGTCCAGATCACATTTGATGACCTGACTTAGACCATAATTATACTGTTAAATAATGATATGAAGCTGTAAAAACTAATTAATGTACATGAGTAAATAACAAATTAAACCCTTATCTAATATGTATGACGGGATTTGTAGTAAAACACTGAAGAAATTGTTCATCTCTTTTTACACAATCTAAATAAGATCTACCATTTCAAACATTTACATTGAGGAAATCGAAATAAAATATTGATTAACATTACACCGAAAAATACCATGAATAAGTAATTTTAACGTTTACAATTCAATCCGAAAATTAAGCTCTCTTAATGATGGTATTTTTATAGAAAAGTATTTGATTGGAACTGTTAGTGTTAATATGGTACCCATTTAAGAAATATACATACATCACTGATACATCACTTTATGTAAATCATCACGGTATGAGGTTATTTCATTTGACTGTGTAGCTGAATAAATTTTGTAGAGACAACACATTTTGAAAGTTTCGTAGACGTTACTGACATATTTTTGTTAGTATAAGCTAAAATTATAATTAATAAGATGCTACAGGATAAGTATTAAAATAATGATATTTGTTTGAGTTATATTTTGTGAAAGTTTTATGATTAAGCAAACTCCTGTTTGATCATTGAAAGTGAAAATAATGGTTTCAGGATGTTAACAGTTTATTTTTCAAACGACAACGGTGATAAACTCCAATATACCTTGAATTTGTAATGAATAAATGGAAGTTCTTATAGTAACTGACGTTGATGAGTTATGTACTTATTTTTAAGCAGGTTTCCTTCTTAGTGTAACTAGAACAGCTGACAAGAATTGCATCACTATCTGAAAAATAAAAATTTTACAATAATTTATTTCCTTGTCTTGTTATATATTCATATTTTCGATTACACAAAATAAACATTTAGTTTATACAATCAGTAATCATTTAATGAAACATATTTAAATGGAAATATCTAAATGTTGTCTAGAGACTAAGCTGTCAATATTTCATCGCTTTTATTGTCAAATATATAAAATAATTAAGACCACTTTCATTTTGTTTTTATTTTAACATTAGTTAATACATGAAACATCAAAGTAACCATCGATTTCATCATTATAGAATAATATTTCTCAAAATCTATTTTCATTTAATTCATAGACGTTTGACTGATATGTTTATTTCACCGCACTTTATGGACTTCATGTTCATTTGAGGAATAAGATTATCAATTGCTTTTTCTCCTGTTTCGTCTTACCCAGCATCTTTTTTCCCAAATTTTCTAACATTACTCATCTACCTACAATATCAACATAATGACTCAAAGTAAAGGCGAGAAAAACATTTAAGACAAAAGTCGTTACTGATTTCAAAACGGTTCACTTAATCATTTACTATTTCATGTTGTAGTGGTTGAATAAAATAAGTTTTGTTAAAAAAATTAAACAGATCAACCTTAAAATCGTCTTGGTTTGTCAGAATATAACGGAACAGAGCAATCATGGCTGTCAAGAAAATTTACTGTCATATGTTATTTACGAATTGTAATTAATGTTTTCTTTTTCGTTTATACTCCTGTCATATATTCTGTTCATCTATACACTGAACTTATAAATTTAATATTTTGCTTTGTAGGCTATATTTCATGTTTGTCAATAAAATGTTTTTATTCCGGAGCAATAAAATCTCATTGACATATTTTAATAGTCAACAGTTGTTTAGTGTAAGTATCTCTTCAGTTCTTGATCATGTTATATCACTCTCCTGAAATAAATTTTATGATACATGTATTTTGTATCGTACTATGGAACATAAGTTAAGAGAAACTTTGGGTACCACTTGATCAAAATAAATGGTATAAGAGTTCATTATTACAGGAGTTCCAATTCAGACAACAAATATTTCAGCCAACTGATTGGTAATGATCAACCGAAAATCATTTAATATAATTCAATCATAAAATCAAAATTATTGTCGATATTTTCGTCAAAACTCAAATAAAGATAAATTGAATATGAACTTAATTGAAGTTAAGTGTTTTGATTGGCTTGAATTAATTTATAAGCATAGTGTTATTTCTACTTTCATTGAAACGCATCACCTCAACTGTATACAAAATCTTAAATGCTCGTCAGTTGTTGATCACTTAAGCGCATGAATGAAGCTGTTCTTAGTCTGGAGAATTTCATCAATAGATTTTCAACTTTAAAATCAGGATCCACTGACCGAAATCAAAAGGATACCTTTACTTGTATTACAAAATAGCCTAAAAAGTTGAAGACACTAAGCACGATGATCCAATCGCTAAAATTTTATCAAAATAAATTAGAACAGTATAATTAAGTTTTAACCATTATGGTAAATAAGATTCTCTCCCTAATTACTGCACTTTATTATAAATAAGAACAGTTATGTTAAAACGGATAAGAATATTTTTTTCTAGACGAGAGATGCATTGAAAGAAGCTTTCATTTTTGAAATTGTTAGGTTCATTCCACATCGAACGAGGACTGATAAGAATCCAAAAATTTAGGAATTTTGTCTGTCATATTTAACAGTTATTCAAAGAAAAAATCCGTTTTTTTGACAACTTCATGCGACATAAAAAAATCACCACGAAAGTTCTAAAAAAATATTTTGTTAATGAAAATAAAACCGTCGTTCAAGAATGTTGAGTCTATTCAAAAACTATGATAATATTGGATACTCGGAGTAAAATGGACTTGTGATGATATTCAAAATATTACGTGCCTCTAAAGTAATGACATCAACATGATGCTGACTAAAATTAGATGGTAGATATAATTTCATTTAGTTGATTTAAAATAAATTTGTTTCTGACAACATTAAACTAGTGTATAATTGATAGATAGTTGTAGCTAAAACAATGATTTTCTTACTTTGGAGTTACAAAATAGATCCGTTCCATCAAGAAAATAAAATTATGACGATTTTAAATTAACGTAAACATTGGATTATCACTTACATTTATCAACAACCAAGCAACAGATAAGTGCAAGTAGACTATGATATTGTAAATGGATTAGAATAATAAATAAATATGCTTGTTGAGTTTAAGGTTGTATTAGGTGATCGGAAGTAGTTTACGAAAAGCTTCGTTTAATCTTGGGACTCAAATCCGCGTCACGCCAGATAATGAAGACATTATAACTGAGTTATTCGGGAGATGACTGTCTATTAAAGCAAATAGATATCTGTATAACTGTTCCGTACAAAATAAAACACTGATTATTTTTTGGGTATTTGTAACTCTGTGAGTATTATTTGTTGATACCCTGCTATTGTTTATAAGCAAATGCCTTTATAGATACAAATATCGAGTTCTTCGAAACGTTCGTGTACAATGTCAACTTTTCTGTATTAGATACACGAAGAAATCGAATTCGCATTAGACAAATTACCTACCTACAGTAACTATTGTCAAGTAACTGCAGTGAAGTGAAAATTTTAAAGAATGCTTACTTTTACTATAAGAAAGCGTGATCAGTAAAGTAAATAATGTAATAGGTCTATTAAAATACGTCACAAGTTTAATGAAGTGATTGTATAAGATAGTAAATTTGGAATTTGAAATATATGAACTTAAAAGAATTTCAAAATAAATGGCAAACATTGTATCATATAACTATGTGCAAAAATGTTTCATATCACGTTATATCTGCTGGTTAAAATACTTTCTTTAGAATGATTAACATTGTTAAGAAAAGTTGTTTGTTTTTCATGATTAACTAAAAATAATAATAAAAGGGCTCTATGTTTTGTGCCAAAATACATCTACATCCCATGAATATTGGAAAATCGTCACATTTTTCTCTTACAGTTCTTAAGGATTTTTAGAGATGAATCTTAACAATATAAGTACCTTATTTATAGTGGCACACAATGAATGCATACTTAATAATCTGTAATTCCAAATGTTATTTCATTAACAATAGTGAATGGTTTTGTCGTCGTATAGAAATTGCTTTATTTGAGTACGATATGAAAAATATAATTATTTATATTGTTTGCTTCGGTACGGTTGCGGGAATGATGTACATCAGAAAAGTCTGGAAAATTTTTAATTATCTGTTCGGTATTCAGTAAATTTATTGATTTCGGTATTTTACTTTAGCTACAAATCTACTGCAGGTCTTTATTCATGTCCACTACAAACTAGTTCAGTTTTTATTCTTACCATAAATTATTTAGCTGACATGAAATAAAATGTTTCATAGACAAACATTCAGCAACTTTTAATTTCCATGTTAAATTTCTCCACATGGTTTCTCTTAAATTACATGACATTTGTTTTGTATTCCACTGGAATTATAAACAGCTATTATTTAGATCGAATATAATTCTAATATTAACTATCGATTTACTCATTTCTCACCTTGTTCTTAAAAACTCATTATACATTACGTAAATTTTTCAATTACTGTGTGCATACGGTTTAATCATGAAGCGAAAATATTAATGTGACTTTGCTAACCATTCGGTGCATACCAGTGATTTTTGCGCATGAAAAAAATACAGTTACCTCCTACCGTTCTGAAAATATTCTTGAGCCTGTTTTTTAGGTTAATTAAAGTATTCGCTGGACTGATTGTGTATATTTTTCAAGATTTGCTGACAGTTTTAGTCATGAAACCGAAAAATTTCAAATGATTAGTGCTAGCTGAAGATGAAATCAGAATGAATAATAACACTGTTTAACATTCACTTGTATTTTTTATGTATGGTGATTTTATTGGTTCGTTATGGTTCTAGAATTAATGTAATTAATTTGAGTAGATTCACTGTTTGTTGAGTTTTTAAAAATATATGACTAAAATACACTGAAAAGCAGTTTTTTGTATAGTCTCGTACATTATAATGCTTTTATAAGTTATATATTTCAGATTTTCATGTTAACCGAAATGTATAATAGCTCTTTGGTTGATCTCATCAAAGTACGACATTGTCAAGATTTCACTCACAGATTTCAAACCATATTTGTTCATTTTCAAGTATAACATGAAACATTTTGAGTTGTTGAACATGATTAACAAACATCTCTTAATACAGTTCTAGGAGTATTTTCTCATTTTGTTAGAACAAGTAACAGCTAATAGACGTTTGTACGATGGGTACAGCTTATCTTACAAAAGTATAAAGTTAGATTGTCACTATCACATGTTTCGGTTGAATTCACAAATGTAGTAAAAAATTACCAATTTCATTGTCATAGGAACTGTTGACTTCTGCATATAGCATTTATTAGTAAACTGATGACTAATGTATCTTACTGTTACAGAAAAAACTGGTTAAAATTAAATTTTTTGTGATCAAGACGGTGTTCGTAGAAATCTTACTTATGCACATATCTAGTCACTTTTTGCACAAGAAATATTTAAAACGTTTAAATTGCCGATGTACGTTATTAGATTAACGCCTAACTAGTTACAAAACGAAAGAATGATAAAAAGTTTTGATTTAAAAAAGAGGATGTACAAACATAACTCAAAGGCTAATTATTGTGTTTCAAATCAAAGTAATGAAGATTAAACCAATTTGTAACTTTCTCTAAACCTGAAAGATTTCGTTATTCTCTATCAGTCTTTCAGTTTACCGCTATTGATTTTTTCGTGCTATATGATTACGAAACGTAGTAATAGTTATACCCTGATGACAGAGGTTTTCAATTCTAGTTCATCATGATGATCAAAAAGTACTTAATGTTTTTTGTCATAACTTTAGTTGACCTTGAAAAGTCTGTATAATTGACATACCAGAACCTTAGAATTTTCAGTGCTCACATTCACAACAAAATGAGAAGTATGAATATCAATAAGTCCATACACGTTGGTAATAAATACTAAACAGTTGAATAAGGAAGGAAGTATGCAAAATTGAGTGGCATTTGGAAGACATAACACTCATATGTCTTCTAAATGTATGTTACACGAATAATCTTTAGTAAAAAGACACAATACAATAATTTGAAAGAACAAATAGTTAGTGATATTATTATTTAAACCTTGAGTAAATCACTATTCGGTCTCTCAACCATGTAATCTTTGATAAATGAAAAATACATCTAATATTGTTTCTTCCATGAGATTAGTTGGTCATAATAATAATTAAAAAATGTATTACTCACTGAAAATATCTATAAACTGTATTCATAGTTTGTATATGTTATGATATACAGACAGACTGTGTTCTTACATATCAGCAAATTACTCACTGTAGCCTACTAAAATTTCTCACAGAAGTTAAGTATTTGATGTAATAAACTAATATCACTCTTTGCAGTGGAAACATAATAATCTTAGATGAATAGTCTACATTTAGAGGGTGAAAAATCCCTGAACGACAAACTAATCGGTAAGGTAAATTGTAATCTCAGCTTTATTGCACAGTTATGCTGATGAATATTCCGGTGTGATTTGAGTGAGAAAACAGTTCACCTAATACCATTCACCAGTTTCCGAATGTAAACATAAAACTTAAATCAACGAAATCTTGATCAGAGTAAGCAAAATAAGTGTACTCTGTTCGCTTTCTCAATCGATTATCCAATTCATAATCGTTTGATACCCTTTTCGTTTTTATACCTTTCACCTAATTTTGATTGATATTAGTTGACATACGTGTATTCTGTGCAGATTGTCACGATATAACAATCGTTACAATATTGAATAAGGCTAGAAGTAAAATGCAGGAAGTGCGTTTTATCCTCAGTATCTAAGTGAATAACTTGTTTTGAGTTCTAAATGAAAGAAATTAGGTTTGAATTCCTGAACGAACCTATGCTATGAGAGTTAAGTAAATACCGCTGACGAATCAAGAATAGGACCAAACACAAGTACTGAGAGGTTATATATATATATATATATATATATATATATATATATATATATATATATATATATATATATATATATTCATATTGTCTGAATATTTGTTTTTCATTTTTAACCAACTACAGCCTGTTAACATTCAAATAGTGATAAACAAGGATGACAAATTTAAAAAACATCAAAATGTTTTAAATCAATTCAATTCAATTAAAATAACCAATCCAACAAATGAGTCAGCTGTACAAAATAATCACGTCAGTGAAATCCAAAGTAACACTACCGATCGTTCTATTACTTCTGAGACTTTTAGTGATTCTAGTGTCAGTGATTCACAACAATCAATATCGACTTCAAGAACATCCTTCCCTCGCCCAAAATGGACACCAATTTTTAACCAATATACATGGTCTTCTGTTCACAATGATAAAAGTAAATCGTGATAAATTTTTTGCACAAATATTTATTTTATATCGTCAAAATTTTTATTCAGATAAATAGTTGAAGTTTAGCTAACCAATTTGATTAATTTGTGATTGTTTTACCTAAAATCAATGGTTTAATGATTATTAGCTGGGTTGAGTAACTTTCAACTCACAAATAAAGACAACTTTGTGGATATCGATGAGAATTCAGGACCAAATTACTACAAATATTGTCTGTATTTAAATCTTCAAGATTTGACGAGAGATAAGTTCTTAACTGTTAAGTGAGATTTCATATTTGCGCATCGTAACTTAACTGATGAGTTCTATGGAAGGACTTGACTTTGTAATCTATAAAACAAGGTGTTATTCAGTATAACAACTTTTTAATTAATAATGACTATGGTGATTCATGAACATAGACTTTCTTGTTTATCATAGTTACTATGAATCTAGCAATGTGAACAGCTCTTTTGCCTAGGACACCATGAATATTCAGCAAAGGAAATAAATTTAAGAGAAAAACGTGTACATAACAGGATGAAAGCTTAAGACATTTAAAACATAAAAGTTGGTAATGAATAAGAATAGGGTTTGTAAGAATAGGCAAACACTGCTTACACTTAACTATCATTAAATTTAACAGCAAAATCTTCAGTACAAACTTTAATTCCAGGAATAAAGCATTAAGATTTCTGAATTTATTAGAGTTAAGGGATAGTTATGTTTAAATCCTATTTATTCACTTTATCTTTGGTGAGAATGAAATTTATCAAAATTATTTATTTGAGGTATAGTAAATATTTTAAAATTAGACACTGTTCTATAATTTAAACAAAAATAAATATTCCATCAATTGTGAAACCATTATTTTATTTCATGTGCCACTTTCAACATTCCTAGAACTTTGTCAATGCTAACAGTTAATTGAGAAAGCAAATAATGAAGCAGTGAATATATTACACTTTCAAGTTACGGTTAATACAAATATATCATTTTTAGTCTGATACTGGTTGACAAACAATTACTTAAAAATGAGTAATTTTCAACATTTATATTAAAAAATCACTGACTAACACATGTACTTGCATACAAAGTTTCAATTCTTTAAATAATTTGTACTTATTAGTTACATAAGTAAATATGCAATGAATGAATGTTTGCTTTTTGGCATTACACATGTTAGTGTCTCTTGAATTAGTTAGTCCAAAAATAATCACCCCAAAGTGAATTAATTATTATCTGATTAAATAATGATAAATCTTCAATGATAGGCTTTTTGGATTCTATGAACACTTTTTTTTATCTTAAACTTTCTACTTTGGGAAAATTATAAAGTAACAATTTTGTTTGCAACTGATATTGAATTCTTTGTTTCAAATACGAAATAACTTTCATAACTTATATGAATAGATCTTTGTTCCTTTTAATCACATAGCAGATTATATTCGATCCACCTGTACTATGAACAGAAGCGTCAGTAATACAGATGGAATAAATACAGAGCAAAATATGCCCAATAAAATATATTCTCAAAGTATAAAACATTTCCCTCGTTTATCAACAGCTGAAATTGTATGTGAGCGACCTAAATCAGCCCCGGTGAAAAATGCTTTGAGAAGAAGCTTGCTCTGTTCATCAACCTGATTTGTTAGCTAATGAAAACATGAATATATATTACCAACAAGCACAAGCTGGTGAATTTTTTCCTCTCATTACGACAAATGTCTTTTTCCAGAATCTATTGTATTTATTTCTGTGTAATTTAAAGTAGCAACTGTGATACATATATATTGGCTTTCATCACTTTATTTTCTGTTGGAAATAAACATATTTTACAGATGTAATGTAAGAAAGATTTAATCATAACTGTTGACAATTGTTCGAATTTTTACAATATGAATATCCATCAATTAATTCATTTTTAAGCGTTCCAACTTCTCATATAACTTTATGTATTTATGTTTATAAGTTTTCGAGAAGCAAAAACTATCAATTTCTGTCTTCCAGTTTTGACGGAATGATTTGACATGTTATCCGTGATTCGGAAACAACCGGTTTTTATTATCTATCAATAATGTTATGAAAATTTCTTATCACTTTATAACTTCTATTTTTTATATTCATTCATGTATAGATTATATGTTTTTTACTATGTTCCATTCATTATAAATACTGCTTAGTGGAGAAACTTAAATAACACTTCATCTGTTAAATATTAAAATGACAATGAGCCAATGCTATTTTGGGCTCATGATGTCAGGTACATTATAGATCTTCTGTTTCGTAGATGAAAACGAATTGAACCATGAGGCTGTATCCTGATAGGTTGTAATGAGTTTTTCAATTTTCTTCATGATATAAGACCACTCTTGCAAATTGTATTATCACATTTTAAAAATAAAAACAATTGATTTTCTTGACTTCAATAAATTTTAACAACAAGTGACTGACTACTAATGACTATCGTTGAAAACCGCAATTAGATTTATGCACACTGAAGTACCATGGGTTTTTATTTAAACATTGGCTCCTGGTTTATCTTATACTATCCGTAAAGTATATATCGTGGTTAGAAGATTAATAATGATCTCAATCTATCATAGTACTAAAGTGTTATACTAATTGAATGTCAAAACGCGAATAGAAACTGTATCATCTCACTTCTTTAAGACCTATTAACAAAAAGTTGCTAATCTCCACTTTTACATGATATCATTACAGTAACTTATCAGAAACGTGCAATCAGGTGATGTGGATAGAGGATGGAAGCTACGATTGAAGCAATTTTTATTCTTTGAGCATTATCAGTATGGGAAGTTAATGCTGATGATGTTCCGAAGAACACTGACAGCTCCAACAGCAAACTGTTCGTATCAAAGAAAGAAACTCCAATAAAATCGTCTACCATCTCAGAATTATTGGTGGTTCTTCAGACAATAGCGATTAATGTTTTTGATACATCTTAATTATATTACCGTACATATGCACTGGTGTATCCGAAAGATTTATTTCATATGTTATGAATGTTTATGCTTGCTATGTATTAAATGCTGCAATCGATAATATGCTAGTAATGTATATCAAAACCCTTTTTTTTAGAAGAAATACAATTATTAATTTTGATTTCACGAAGCGATCTCTTGAGTGATTTTTTCAATGGTTTACATTTGATGTCCTGTTACAAAAGTACATTTATTATTATTCAATTAAGTTAACTTTAAATAAATGTAGGGTAATAAAACAATAACTTATTTATAATGTATCATACTTATGCATAATATAATTTTCTCCGTCATAATACTTTTTAATCTTTACATGTAGGTATTTTTCAAAGGTACATAACGTAAGTGAATCACTAAATAGAAATATTTAGTCTCCCTAATTTTTTTCAATGCTACAAAGTCAGTCTTCTTTGAAACTAGATTATGTTTTTCAATTGGTAAATTATTTTTAAACAGCATTCATATGAGATAATTTATAAATGCTATTTCTTTGATAAATTGCCGACTATTTCAGTGAAGCTACCCCTTGAAATGTTTATTAAAAAAACAAACAATAAAGTGTTAATAGTGATTGCAATAACACTGTATTGGTCATAAGTTATACTAGTTGATATACATTTTGACATTAACTGTCATTTTGAATAATCACATTCACATACAGAATGCCTCACACGGATAACAAAAAAAAATCACGCTGACAATTGATTTTAAGAGTTGATTTCATCTAGATTGCTTATGAGTACTAAGTAACTTTAGAGTAAATAGTTCCTGAAACTAAAATATTTTAAAGAACTGTTAGACTAAAGAAAGTTAACAAGTATTTCGTTCTATGCGCTTCTTAATAAAACGTACTTATAATATTATTCAGGCACACAGTTACATTACCTTGCTGTGAAATGTATCACCGATTCCTTCACAATTTTTAGTGAATGTCATTAAATTAGTGGTACATGCTTATCATCACTATGAAATTATTGAATTTAGTATTGCAAAATTTTCGTTAAATCGTACAAACCATCTATCCCAAATTAAATCATTAGCTGACCTTGAATGATGATAAAACATTGTAATATAAGCGAACAGAGGAGCGAGATATTCGAACTCGGTGGACAGTTGATATGAACATTGTTTAATAGCAATAGACTAGGTCGAAACCTATATTTATCCTAAAGAAGGTAGATTTTCTTGAGCGTAATGAAATCTTTGAAAAGAACGTCAATGAATCATGAACAAATATTCACTAAAGACTTATTCGCATATACATATTTAATAAATCCAAAGACATATTATTGGTTAGTGATAATAGATAAGTTACTAATAAATGATGATACTCTTGAATATTATCAGATATTCATTTAATAATTCGTATTCACATTGAAGTCTGATTGAATGTCAATTAGTCGTATGTTAGTTTCGCTTCCAATCTAATTATTATCTAACGTAATAATTTTCCAATGTAAACGGTATTTTCCTATTTTTAAGAAAATAATAGCACGTTTAAGGTCCCGCGAAAACATGACTTTTACTTAAGCATGAAGATCACTTTTTCAAACTGATATGTCTAACAGAGTAAACAGTTTAACTCATTACAATGATTAAATCATAATCTACTGAAATACACACATGCACACACACACGTATATGATAAATTTTCCTTGTCTAAAGTGGTGAAAAATCTGTAACCCAGACATTTCGTCAAACATTTGTCTGATAATCTTTTTTAAGTATTAAGACGTGATTTATAATCATTCAAATAAATCCTATAAAATAAATAAAATTGCATTGTAGAGTAGAGACTACTAACATGTTGATTGATTATAGTGACTGAAATGGTTTTTATTTTTCTCACTACATGTTTGATAATGTAATTTCATTTGACGATAAGGACTGAATATTCACAGTTAATCTGCTCATATAATAATAATAATATTATTAATAATAATAGTTTAGCATGATACAATACTCAATTAGAATTCATGCTGTGAAACAGTAATTACTGAAAGTAAGTGAATAAACGTATCGATACAATGGAGTTCAATAAATGAAAAATATTAAGAATTAATCAATAGCTTCGTTTTTTTTCTAGGTTACATATTAAATTAAATTAAATTTTACTTTACAACCACTACAATAACCAACAAAAGTTACTTGATACAAAACAAAATTAATGATAAACTGTCGAATTAATAGGAAATAAGGATTATCAAAAAAAAATAAAACTCTATATGGGTAGAATAATACTACAAAGTGTAATCAATGCAAAAATGAAATATTTTGAAAGTACATAAAAATAAAACAAGTTAATCTTATTTCAAGATTTTAAATGAATTGAAAACAGTATTATGAAGCAATAAATAAAAAAGATAGCATAAGTATTAGAAAAATTTCATAAAAACGATTATGAATAAGATGAATCAAAAACAATGGAATAAATAACTTATATTGATTGACAGTAATCTACATTTCTATGTGAAACACAGTATCAAGTCGATTTGAGCAAAAACAATACTGATGAGGCAATATAAACTATTTTGAGCTCTGAGAAGTCACATTCTACCAGGGAAATCTTATCAGAGCTTTTATAACCGTTTCCACTTTAGAATAAGTATAAATATGACAATATTCTGATTAGAATAATGAAATAGCAAAGGAGATTTTAAAATAATTTTATCAAATTGATCATTCATACCAAGCAATTCTGGTGAGTAAGAGATAATAGGTTTCCGTTAATTTCGTTATCTATTGGTATAAGTTTGTTGCCCGTTTGTTACTTAAAGCTTTCCTTATTCACATCAACCTTTTGACTTGTTGATGCATAACTGGCTATGTTTATTTTATGGTGTGATGCCGTCTAGTTTGATTGTACTTAAACTATGTCTTTTTGAAATATAATTATAGTAGAGACTTATTGCTGAACTATAGACTCAAGGACAGTGAAGACAAAAGTTAGAGAACTGTAAGTCAGTAGATACTTAGCTACTGACTGAAAGTTGATAGGGCGCAGTGGACGTGCAATCGGTCAAATCAGAATCGTATAGGCTGATACTGAAACGTCTGTGATATTTTTTGTCTGTTCTAATAAGAAAGTTTCAGGGTATGACCGTAAATAATCAAAAATTTGTGATTAGTGTGTGATTGGAGAATGTATGCAGAATATCCAAATGGACACTGGTTTTCCTGAATATATAAAGGCATAAAACTCTGAGAAACAAATAATCTCTAGCTGAAACGTCGTTCAAACTTAAATCAAAACTAGTAATAATGTGATTACTTGAGCCTACTGTTATTTGAACAGTAGTTATAGAGTTGTGTTTTTTAGCTTTGATATTTATCTTGGAACATAATAACAATCTATTATATCACTTTTAAAATTACTGATAATATTAGGAAACAGTTTTGAGGATTTCAGAGTATAAACGTTTTCAATAATTCATGAGATAATAAATCTAAACCTCCAGCTGTTTAACCATTATTCGTATGTATAAGTTAGTCAAGACAATTCGAATAAAAGTGATGGAAAGCAATGATTAACGAATAAAATTACAGTTTAAGTCATTTCTGGCCACTTGTACTACATATTACATTCACTCCGCGTCAACCATAAAAGTTAGCATCTAGTCGCTCAGTCATATTAATAGTTTG